CTATGAGCACTAGAGGGAACTACTGAGTCAAATATAAGAATTACAAACTACAGTGGCGCTGATTCATTGTCATTGAACTGGCTCTGCAAAGGAAAGCTAATGCTAATGTTACTTAACTTTTAAGGTAATATTTCTCACTCAATTTCACAGTATATGTAGTTATAATAACTTGCTAAACTTACTTCACTCTATAAAAGGCCTCTTCAAGGGTGAGTGCTGGCTACTAGGTTACTCCGTGTTGGGAAGTAACTAGTTACATGTAACTGAATTACGTAATTTAATTACAAAATACTGAGAAGAAACGTGTACTTAAATTACATTTTGAATAGGGTAACTTGTAATCTGTAACCTATTACATTTCCAAAGTAAGCTTCCCATTCCCAACACTGCTCATCTCCGGTTTTTCCAGCAGAAGGACAGTCAAACATTAGAAAGTGTAATCTAGAAAGAGCTAATATGAGGCTGCATAAACAGTCCATCTAAACGGTTACTTCCACTGATCTACATTCAGCTACAACTGCTAAATCACTTGAGCATTGACTATATGTGGACAGTATATGTAATCAAACACAGAATGGCTTTGATTCATCATACAGCAGATGTCGGTCTCCCTGAATATGTTTTATAGGAACATAAACACAAGATGAGATGCTCGGCTGTGTATTTACATGTGGCGGATGTTAAACCGTACATGGCCTCCTCTTACATTAGTTACTCTCAAACGGTTTCATCAGATGGATTATGTATCTTATCAGTCAGTGTTTTGACATTCATGCAATCAGATCTTTCTGGGTTGGCCTAAACTCATTCACCCTCTGTGCACTGCAGCGCTTGGCATTCTGGGATGTGTGCGGGCCAAGGTGTATTTACAGGTGATTATATCAGCTAATCGGTGGATTACAGCATGTTGACTCCACACAAGACCCTAATCCTCATGGAAAAGGCAGCGTTCTGGCCCCTGGGATTTTCTGCATTAATCCCATCCTAGATTTGCCGGATCCAGCCCCGACCTCCCCCCCGATTCCCACATCTGGCCTTCTGGGGCTTATCAATGTAGTCCTCCATTCTAGAAGTAGTTTATTATGCTTCATCGCTGATACACTGGACTTTAATTATAAAAATGCAGCTTTACGCTGCGACCCAAAAGTAATTACACAACCTGAGTCGATTAGCTGCTCCGTTTGTTTGTGTGTGTGTGTGTGTACCTTCATACACACCTCAGTACAGTATCATGGTACAGTGATTTTCTTTGTAATAAATAAATATATATATATATATATATACACACACACATATATATATACACACACACACACACACACACATATATATACACACACACACACACATATATATATATATATATATATACACACATACACATACACACACACACAGTATACAGTATACATGTATTACTCAGCAAGGATGCATTCATTTGATAGTGACAGTAAAGATTTGTAATATTGTTACAAAATATTTCAATATAAATGTTCTTTTGGACTTTCTGTTCATCAAAGAATCGTGGGAAAAAAGTAAATCATAAAACCAGAAACTAATATTAAAACCATGCAAAAGAAATTCACTACTTGAAATAAAATAAATTATTTAAAATGAACTAAAATGTAAAAAAAAAAACACTTTTATAAATTTCAGCTAGTTGACAAGGCAATATTTTAGTTTAGTTTAACTTTTACTACAATAACAAACACTAATACTCAAATAATTAAATAATTAAAATAAAACCAATAATTAAAATGACAAAACACAACTAAATTAAAACTTTAACCTAAATATATACATTTTGATCATATAAATTTTGAACTGTGACAGCAAAGTTTCGTAATAATGTTACAAAAGAATTAAAAATAAAATTAAAGAATTAAAATTTTAATTAAAGAATTAAAAATAAAAAAGTAAAACATTTATTTCAGCTACATATATAACTCAATAAATAACAAATTAATGTAAAGATTTTTGTCCAATTAATTTGATTATTTGAACTGACACTGTACTGTACGTCTGTCACTACGTCCGACACAAACCATCGTGAACTCCTGCTTCTCCTTGTGACAGATGTCATAAAGCATCCTGTAAAAATTGTCTGATTAACACAAAAGGGCACTTTGGCAAATCCAGATTACGAGAGCACTTTCCTTTATTAAACGCAGCAATCCCAGCACTCTCTGCAGCTCTGGGATTAAGAGCAGGTAGACGCCATTGTCTGTCCAAACAATCCCTCTGTAAGCCTGCCGGTGTGTCTGCGCTCGTGACGTGTGTTAGTGTGAACACCGTTCTCTGAGTTCTCTTTAATCAACATCATCCTCTTTAGAGGCCGAGGTGATTGGATTTAGGTTGTGTTTGTATGAGAAAGAGAAATGGGAATAAGAGCTGAGGTATGTTGACAAGCGCCGGCCATATGGAGAGACTCACCTTAGAGTTATGATTGATGATCAGCTGACTTTCTCAGACCACATTGCTAAAACTGTCCGGTCTTGCAGATTTGCTTTATTCAACATCAAGAAGATCAGGCCCTTTCTTTCGACTCTATTTATTTACTAACTGCTTGTTTTCTTAAAAAAAAAAACGAACACTATAGCTTCTCTAATCTTTTTGTATTCTATTTGTTTTATTTTTATTTATTATACAATTAACAAAAGCAAAAAAGGCCTCAAACACTAGCTTGTGCTATTCTTTTATTTATATTGTTTTCTTTTTATTTATTATAAAACCTTGCTACGTGTACTGCATTGAGCTAACTGAGACTTGTTATAGCATTGCTCTTTTGTTGATTTTGATTGCTTCCATTGTCCTCATTTGTAAGTCGCTTTGGATAAAAGCGTCTGCTTTATGACTAAATCTAAATGTAAATATAATATTTTATATATATAATATATATATGCTAGAAGGAACCAGCCTCTAGTTTTTTTTATACTTTCAGATGATGATTTTTATTATTATAATTATTTTTTAATTGAGTTTTTGTGATTATTTGTCAGCACAAATAATAAAAAGATAAATATATAATAAATATAAACAATAAAAAGCATCACAGATGATTCATAATAATTTATATGCCATAAGGAACTAGGCCTGAGGTTTCTTTTTTTCGAATTACTTCTGCTTGGCTTAATATTTAAGCTGTTTTTCTGTTCTGATTCGGTCCCATTAGACATAACATATGTCTGCGAGCTCATAATCATTACTTAGGTGTTTTGAAAAATGAAAGTGACCATACGGCACAGTTTATAAAAACAACTTTACAGAGATTACTGTTATTGTATCAGCCTTAAAGAGCTTATTGTCATTCCAGTATTGTATTTTTGAGGGGGTTAATGCACATGAAAATGAAATGGAAATCCATTTGGAAATGCCAGACGCTGCTAGTGAGAAGAGAAGTAGAGTTGTGATGTAAACGGGTTGCATTTACCACCATTTTTGCAATTAAGCTGGTGTACTGTAGTTCATACCTTCAGATTACCAGATGTCAAATCCCTGAAGCCAAAGTAAAAGATAACATGAAATATTCAATTATTTTGTGTTCTAAATGCAAATAAAGAAAGAGCACAGGCGTCTGATTGTGTCTTGCATGTGGTGCTTTGAGCGAATTATAAGTCACCAATCTATTTGTGTTTGATTATTAACCCAAATTTATATCAGGTCATTTCATCCACACATAGTAGCTAAATAAGTGTGACTAGTGATGGTAAAGCATGTGACTAGCCTTCATCAGCCGTATGAGTGTCCAGTAGAGAATGCTGACCTCCCGAAATGTCCCGTCACTTCCAGTCATTAAACATTAGGGCTTAAAGTTCTCCGGCACCGTGCTGGTGTACCGGATCTCCGGCGTGCAGCGTTTGGCTGCGGAAAAAATAGTCCTACGCGCAATGGTCAAAGATGTCCATCTAGCGCATATTTACATAGAAAAGCTAATTGTTAAGCAGCGGAGCTTTATAAACAGCTCAGAGTAATCATGTCATCTCCATAAAACGATATGATTGCAGAACAAATTTACCGGGATTTTTGAAAAGGTCCTGTTCACACATGTTCTATTAAGGGTAACTTACCGGTAATTTACCAGTAAAGACTGTATGTGTGAAAGGGGCTAAACTCTTCCTCTGTATATGCCGTGAATTTGAATTGCTTAACGTTCATCTGGAAAAACAGTGTGCATCTCACTAGATTTGTAACGTAAATCATTTTATAAACCTTTGCCAACACAGGAGAATACATCAACCTATGTCTAAATCAAGCGGCAACCTCCCCTCTCTCTCGTGAAGCCAACAAGTGACTTAAACTGCAATTCGTCGACTGGCCGCTAGAGGCTGGCAGCAAAAGGGAGTCAATCCCATAGACTCCCCATGTTAAAATGCCCAACTTTACAGCAGAAAAAGACATGTTTACAGCCTGGTTCAAAAAATGATTTAAATTGCTTATTTCTCTGGATTTAAACATTCTTCGAAACATTTGGGATGATGTAAGTACACAAGTCAGCAAAATATATAACACTGTTCTAGTGGTTTTTGGATATTTTAATAAAAAAATCTGACATATTGTGCCTTTAAGTTGGTTATGTTCATATTATGTATAGCATATTACATTATGTATTTTAACAGTGTTGTTCAATACAATCATGTAATTTCTTGGTTTTGATATTTTATTTGAGCAAATTATTATTGCCTCATCATTAGTTTATATATAAATAGTCATACTAAGGCCTGTATTTTGTTTATATTTCATAGATATTTTAATAAAATGTATTAATGTGTACTGTTCCTATGTTCCTAAATACTTTTGTCTGTATTTAAAATCACATAGTGTTTATTTAGTGTATAAAGAGTGTTTATAGAGATGGTTCTGTCATTATAAGATGCAAATGAAGTTATTTATCCTTTATTCATTCTCTTTTAGTCTTCAGAGCACAAAGGGTTAACTGTAGGAGGTTCTGTTTGCAGATAAGGGTGGAGGGAACTTGGCAAGTCAGTGTACACTTTTCTTCTTCAGTAATTAGCTTGGCTTCCAGCAAAGCCATGCTTCAGCATCTTGGAGAAGAACATATCACGACTACATCACATCTGTTGTAAAATTACATTTTGTTTTCAGTTCCCTGACAGAGATGGGCGAGATCAGTGAAGCGTCCTTACTGGAATACATCTGTTCCTCTGGAGGAAAAGTCAAAAATTCAGATCTGTCCAAAACATATAAGCATTTTATAAACCATAGCGATTTGCAGCTACGTGGTGAGTAAATGAGAATATGACATTTTTCACATTCGCGTTCGCTTTACAGCCTTGTCTTCACTGCAAGCGCGACGCAAAGCGCGCTCACACACACCAGATGCTTTCGTATTTTTGCGTTTAGAAACACTAGCTTAACTAAATGAAACAGAACGTGTGGGGTCTCGAGACTCGTTTTGGTAAATTACTTTAATGAAATACATTGTTAATTTGACACGCAAACGCAACGCTCGAGACGCAACGCAACTGACGCACGTGTAGACCTAGGGTTAAAAACTGCTCTAGAATAGACCTTTTAATTTTGTCGAGTTGCTAGCAGCGTTAATGAGGTGTTTTTGGGAGCACATTCTGTCATTTTGAACTCTGAAATAAGATTTAAAAACTCGCTTCGCTTTAGGAATGGCATTTAGTTTCTTAAAAAACCTCTAAAGTAACTGGCAAACATCTGCTTTAGATTAAAAAGCTACCAACAGATGGAATTACACATGGAATTCTGTCATTTCCTTTGCTCCTTCAGGAAGGGCCTCCACATTCCCAAACCATGACAGTTGAGTTCTAAATACAATACTGTGTTGTTTACAGTTTGATTCATATTCCAGTATTAATCAAAATACGGTCAGATTGAATTATGTAACACACTAAACTGACTGCCATAATAACCAGAGTAAAGCTGATATTCTAAATTCTATAAATCTGAATAATGGTAAATCTGAGTGATAGGCCTATTATATATAGACAGTTGTGAAAAGTTAAACTATTAAAGAAATACATAATTGGCACAAGGAAGAGACTCTTTTCTTTGCTTTAATCAGAATATGACCACATTCTGATTGATATTGGAATATTCCTGTGCAAGTTATCACTTTCAGTGTCTTATTTTGATAAATGCTGAATTGTTCATGTTGACAAATGCTTATCTGCTTTTGCTTTTCTGATGGCCTAAATGAATAAGTTGTTGTTTTACACTGACCAGACTAGTGGTTGAGCTGATCAGTTGTCCAATATTTGATCATTGTTAGATTATTTGCACCTGATTAGCGCTCAATTTCAACATCTTTGCCAATTAATGACCCAATTTATATTCGTATTACGTTCTCAATTTGGCTTAAAATCCCATTTTATAGATATCAGCATCTGCCACTGAAAACAAATATTGTTTGAACGCTAGTGTTTTGTTTATGAACATTAAATATTAATGTAAAAATGGCATAGCGTGCCGGCAAAGAAGGCTGCAGCAAAGTGGGCCAAATAAAAAAACATGATGTTCTCATAAGCCATTTAAATTGTAATTACATTAGACGATGTTGCATTTAATCTTACATGTGTCAAACATAAATTTATGAAACAATTATCTGTAATGGCTTATAATGCCTCGTCCAGCTGTGCCGGTACAGTTGTGTACAGAGGTTTCAAAATCTGCCTTCATCTGGTACCATCTGACATAGCTTACCAATTATCATAATTATTCTTGATTACCGCAGCAGCCTGCATGACATGCTCTTATTCTGGAGTTATAATGATTCCAGTCCTTTTTAGGACGGTGGTTTTGATGGGTTCTCGGGCAGTTGCTATATTCTGTGTGGGAACAGAGTCCTCATGTAGTTGGCAAGCATAGACTAATAAATTTGCTCCGAAATCTAAACTGTGTGCCTCTCAGCACCATGACAGGATTTCTGCGGGCTGCAACTGTTGAATGTTGACTTCCCTTAAGGTTTCCTGTTGTTGTGGATGCTGTGTTGCAATGTCATCCCTGTCTTTTCCCCTGGCAGGAAAACGGAAAGGCTGTGTAGGGTACATTCTCTATTTAAAGATCCTAGTCCTGATATATTTTGGCTGTTTGGCACAGTCCAGTTTAAGTGGTTCTCATTTTTAACCATTAATATATCACAATATGTAAATGTGATTTTTTTTTTTTTAAGTTAACAGTAACAGCATCCCCAGTCTACTTTTAAGTATGTTTGTTGACATAAAGAGTAAAATATTTCATAAACAAATGGGATTCTGGGAAATCATTTTTGTATGTTTATTTTTATTGTATTGTTATATGTAAATTACATTTAATTAATTCCTGTTCATCAGCAATAAAACCATTAGTTCATAAAGTCATCAATTATTAAAAAATGCCTGCTTGTTATATAAAAATATAATAAAATATATCAATACTATTAGAGCAAAACAGTGTAAACAAATGTAAAAAAAAAAAGATTAGACTAAATGTTTTTAAAATAAAATATTTGATTTTAATAAATTAAATTTGACTAAATAAAATATATATTTAAAATAAAATATTTGATTAAAAAAATAAAAATGTAAATAAATAATACATCGAACAATAAAGTACTACTGTGAGTAGGGTAAAATGCAATAATGATATTTAACAAACAACATTTTCCAAATATTCTAAACATTTATAATTTTTTTTCTTCACAAAAACAGTGAAAGAAATGTTGAAATAAGCAAATAATAAAACTAAATAAATAAATGTAATAATATAATGGAACAAAAACAAAATATTTTCCAGATATTTTAAACATTTATAACATTTCTTTTTTCACAATATATTGATTTAAGTCTTATGGTGCCTTGGGTGAGAGTGAATAAATTTAGGGGTCAATGGCAAAAAAAGAATAGCCCGGATTTAGACTATGCTATGCAAAAAAATATGTGTTATAACTCACCTCTCCAAGATACCTTGAAGGACCTATCTGAGAGGTAAGACTCAAACCACTGGCGTGCGGTTCCTGAGATGCCATTTTCCAATAGGGTTGACAGGAGAATCTGGTGGTTCACTGTATCAAAAGCAGCAGACAGATCCAGCAAAATATATAAAATAAATATATATATATGTATATGTATGTTCATTTGAAAGATGAATACTTCAGAATAAGTTTACATGATGACCTTCAACAAAGTGACTCACAGTCTAGCATTGAATGTGTCTGTTGCCGTGGCAACAAAATAACTATTCCACAGAAAATATAGCCAGGATCGAGTAAAACAGCTTCTGCAAACAGAAGCCTTTGTGTGATATAAAAAGTAAACAGGACCATGTAGAGTTACAACTTGAGCAGCGGTTTTCAAACTGGGTTGTGAATCACCGCAGAAGGGAAGTATGCGGTTCGGGCAAAATGCAAGAACGATACCGTCATGCCATGTCAGAAATATGAAACGTGTATGTTCTCAAATTCAGTTCATGGGGTTCATATCTTGTGTTTACATATTTCTGGCATGACACATTACAGCAGCGTTTCCTGAACTCCCGCTCCTCATGGTCTGGTGAGCATGTAAAAACAAACAATAACCACCTGTGTAGTCCGATTCATGAACAAATGACTCGTATGAGTCGGTTCTTTTAATGACTCGTTCTGACGACTGGCAGTTACTCGTTTGAATCAATCTTATGAATCTTTTACTTAATGAACTCTGTCAGAGCGGCTACTGAATAATGACTCACTTTCTGAACTGCAAGTTCCATTTCAAAGCTCATTATATCACTATATACATAATGTTGATCAGCAATATCATCTTTAGTTCATTATCGATAAATAAGTATCGCTTTTTTTTTAAACAAATTTTGTTGTATGCATTTGTCATTTTTATTTAATCTCTTTATTTTTAAAATGTGTATAGGTAGTATTTATAAAGTTTTAGCTTTTAGTTTTGGATCTGTTTTTAGTTGTTTTAATACTACAATTGATTGCTTCTGTTGTCCTCATTTGTAAGTCGCTTTGGATAAAAGCGTCTGATAAATGACTAAATAAATAAAATAAATAAGCTCATCAATTATTAAGAAACGCATATTTGACATAAAACTAGTTTATTATATGTCAGTATATTAGCACCACCTGTGTAGCCCGAATCATGAACAAATGAGTCAATTCCTTTAATGATTTGTTCACTCAACTTGAAGTTACCCGTTTGGATCAGTCTGGTGAATCTTTTACTGAATGAATGACATCAGAGCGTCTACTGAATCAGCATATGATTCACTTAATGAATGGCAAGTTCCATGTCAAAGCTCGCTATGTCACTCTGTTCATATTGTTCATCAGCAATAAAATTATTTGTTCATAATATCATCAATAAAAAAAAAGACTTGCAGTGAAAAAAAACTACATTTTTAGTGCTGTCAAACGATTAATCTTGATTAATCGCATCCAAAATCAAAGTTTTTGTTTACATAATATATGTATGTGTACTGTGTATATTTATTATGTATATATAAATACACACACGTGTACAGTATATATTTAGAAATGTTTTACATGTATATACATTTATATATTTATATTATATTTGATAGTATATACAAATATATTTAATCTATAAACATAACATATTTTTCTTAAATATATACATGCATGTGTTTGTATTTCTATATACATAATAAATATATACAGTATACACGCATATATTATGTAAAAAAAAAACACGTTTATTTTGGATGCGATTAATCGCGATTAATCGTTTGACAGCACTAATTATTATATATCAGTATATCAGCAGCATCACCTGTGTAGTCCGGTTCATGAACAAATGACTCTTAAGAGTTGGTTCTTTTAATGACTCGTTAATGACTTATTTGAATCAGTCTGGTGAATCTTTTATTGAATCTTTTAATGAACTCCATGAGAGCAGATACACACAACTCATGTCAAAGCTCATTACACCATAGGTGTTCTTACTTGTTGTGCAATTTTTGAAGAAGGAAAATATCTTCTTGGGATCTAAATAAAACTACAAAGCAGTGCTGGGGGCATCTGAGTGATGATGACCCATTGGGAATGGTTGTTGAAAAGGCATATGAGCACAGCAGTAATGATGGATTTGTTTGTGCAGCTCTCCTCCCTCTCTGTCATTTAATCATTTTCTATTCTTGTATAGTAATTCGAGCCAGTTTCTGGTTTCTCCCTGCTGCAGTCAGTCTGTGCTAAAGTGATGTTGCATAACATCACAAACTCCCACAGGCCAGGAATCAGAGTCCAGTGTTTGTGCCAAACGTTACACTGCTAATCTCTCCAGTCAAAAACATGCAGACAGAACAAATCAATCAATAAACAAGTGTTCAAGGTTTGTGTTCAATCACAAATCAGGAAATGTTGTTTTTAAAGAAGTAGTTCGCCCAAAAATGTACATGTGCTGAAAATGTACTCTCAGGCCATCCAAGATGTAGATGAGTTTATTTCACCGCAACAGATTTGAAGAAATTTTGTATTGCATCACTTGATCACTAATGGACCCTCTGCAGTGAATGGGTGCCGTCAGAATGAGAGTCCAAACAGCTGATAAAAACATCACAACAATCCACAAGTAATCCACACCACTCCAGTCCATAAATTAAAATCTTGTCAAGTGAAGATACGTGTTTGTAAGAAACAAATCCATCATTAAGCTGTGTTTTTAACATCAAACCTTTGCTTCCAGTTAGTCCTCTATCCATAATATTGCTTTCTCCAGTGAAGAAGTTGTCTGAAACAGGAGAGAAATATGCAGATCAAGCACCATTTGCAAGCAAAAACAGTCCAAAACAATTCTAAACAAATATGTCGGTGGATTTTAATGTGAGAGGACAACAAGAGATGGACTTTTTCACTGGAGGAAGCATCATTGATTATGGACTAGTATTTTGCCCAGAAGTGACAGTTTAAAGATAAAACACTGAAAATGTGGATTTATTTTTTTTACAAACATGCTGCTTTTTACTTCACAAGACGTAAATTTATTAACTGTAGTCATGTGGATTATTGTGATGTTTTTATCAGCTGTTTGGACTCATTCTGACAGCACCCATTCACTGCAGAGGATCCATTGGTGAGCAAACAATGTAATACTAAATTTCTTCAAATCTGTTACGATGGGGAAAAAAAAAAACTCAACTACATCTTGGATGACCTGAGGATGAGTACATTTTCAGAAAATTTTCATTTTTGGGTGAACTGTTCCTTTAAAGCTATGCTAATTCTGTCATCTTTTACTCACCCTCATCACCATCCGATCCTGTGTGACTTTCTTTTTTCAGGGGAACACAAAAGAAAAAAAGTGTAATTACAAAATGTAACTGATTTTGTGTTTCACAGAAGAAAGCCGTACAGGTTTTAATTCTAGCCTCTGGCATCCTTTGGGTTTTCTTCTGATGCTGAGTTTAGATTTACAAAGGAAAGAACGAATGCAAGGTCATATTGTACAAGTAACCTTTCTCCTAAGATAAATTTGGAAAACATGCTGGGGAAAAATATTTGCAAGCACATACTTATGACACTTTAATCTCTTTTTTTTCCCCTCTAGCCAAATACAGAGAAGAGTTCAAACTCATCATTGATCGAATTGCGGTGGTGAAATCGGAGCATGTGAGTACATGTGTTGTTTAATGTGTTAAACTAATCAACTCCTCCCTCAGTCTGATTATATTATCATTAGAGCATTTTTGCATGTGTAATACGATCACATTTTATTCCCTGTCCCTGAAGAATAGTCGCAGAGGACTCTATTCCCACAGTGATTCATTATTTACTCTGTGACTGGGATAAGCTTCACTTTCTCACATTAATGCTATACACCACACCCTTATGATCTTGGATCATTGTCCCACATGTGTACTTTCCCTCGGATGAGATCACTTTCAGTCTGTTCTGAACTGTAATCCATTGTTTTCCGGCCATACACTACCATTCATAAGTTTGGGGTCAGACTTTTAAGGTTTTTGAAGGGTATCTCATATACTCCCAAAGAGAGCATTTATTTGATCAAAAGTACAGTGAAATAATATTACAATTTCAAATAACTGTTTTCTATTTGAATATTTTTAGATGTAATTTATTCCTGTGATGCAAAGCTGAATTTTCAGCATCATTACTCCAGTCTTCTGTTTATTTAGATAGAAATAGAAATCTTTCTTACGTATCTTTAGTCACTTTTGATCAAATCTATGCTAAATAAAAGTATTAATTTCTTTAAGAAAAAAAACCCATTTATGTTTAAATAATTGTGTTAAAGTGTTAACCAAAAAATATATATGTAGTCATTATTGATACACAAAGTCATATTTTTTCTTTATTTTTTTCAAATAACAGAATGAAGGTAATGGTTCCTTTTTCATTTCAGGGAGAGAAATATCTCGTCCTCAAGAAGAAGTATAGACAGCAAATGCAAGAGCGAGAGTCTGGCGCTGGAAAGAGAGGAGAATCAATCAAGCCGGTTCATCCGAACCCACAAAATGATCTCCGGGTCTCCAATCCAGTGCAGAACCTTAACCCAACAGCTCAGAAACCAGCACTGGTGGCCTGGTGCTCAGGACCCATGATTACAGTCACAGAGGCACCAGAACCGACTCGTACAGATGTTGTGAGTGATTATTGATCATAATAGTTCTGTTTTACTCATTGTAGATCAGTATTAAAGGAATAGTTCACCCAAAAATGAAAATTCGCTGACAACTTCAGGTTGTGAGTTTGTTTCTTCATCAGAACACATTTGGAGAAATTTAGAATAACATCACTTGCTCACCAATGGATGCTCTGCAGTGAATGGGTGCCGTCAGAATGAGAGTCCAAACAGCTGATAAAAACATCACAATAATCCACAAGCAATCCACACCACTCCAGTCCATCAATTAACGTCTTATGAAGCATGTTTGTAAAAAAAAAACATAGTTAAGACACTTTTAACATCAAACTGTAAATATGAGTCCTCTATCCAGTCATCTCGTCTGAATCAGGAGAGAAATATGCACAGAGCAAGCACCGTTTACAAGTGAAAACAGTCCAAAACTGTTATAAACAAATATGTCGGTGGATTTTGATGTGAGAGAACAACAGGGGATGGGCTTTTGCATTGTTAAGCGTTATTATGGATTATGGACTTGGCAAGAAGCAACGGTTTAAAGTTAAAATGCCTTACTGATGGATTTGTTTCTTACAAACACACAGCTTTTTACTTCACAAGACGTTAATTGATGGACTGGAGTGGTGTGGATTACTTGTGATGTTTTTGTCAGTGGTCTCATTCTGACGGCACCCATTCACTGTAAGTTCATTTTTCATTTTTGGGTGAACTGTTTCTTTAAGAGGAGTAAACATCAAGTAAAACCTCTCTTATAGCTCAGTGACCACTTTTGTCACATCCGTGTTATCATACATGACACATCATGGCATCTTATGATTTTACTAAAAAAAAACATAAAGAAGAAGAAGAAACAAGAACTAAAGAGGAATCTGGATGAGTGATTTAACCACAGTATTTCATCAGTGTTCTGCGATGTGACGTTATTCCATTAAACATAGTATTTAAAGCTCCGCTTGAATGTAAGGCGTTATTGTTTAAGTATTTGTTATAGTCTCAGTTAGACTAGCTAGCATGACATGTTCACATCAACTAAAGTAGTGTAAAACTCTTGTGAAATTCAGGTCTCTATTAATCATTTTCTTGGATATCATTCAGAATCCGGTGTTTTTCCTTAGACTGTTTGCTAAAGCTTTTCTAGTCTGGATTAAAGAAGCAGCTGGTGATAAGAGAAAGCTTGTCAAAAGCAGATAACATAGTGTTTCAGTTGCCTTATCTTTAGCTGTAGGATTTCAGCTGTTAAAAGCGTTATTTTGAAGCACATATTGAGACTTCCGGCAAGGTAGAGTATAGTGGGCATGTAAAATTTCATTTTTGGAATGATTAATTGCTATTTTTTGCTTGGTTTTAAGATAATCTTCACTTATCTATGATGCCTGGAAGCATCTTTGGATAATTTAACCCTGTGTGGTTTGCATCTCTGTGTGGCAGCCTTGACAAAAACCTCATTTACAAGAGCATTGAATATGTAGGTTAAAGGGGTCATATGATGCGATTTCAAGTTTTCCTTTCTCTTTGGAGTGTTACAAGCTCTTGGTGCATAATGAAGATCTGTAAAGTTGCAAAGACTAAAGTCTCAAATCCAAAGAGATATTCTTTATAAAAGTTAAGAGTCAACCACGCCTACCTAAAACGCCTCGTTCTAACACGCCCCCACATATCTACCTCACTATGTGGAAATATTAGCATAATGCCGCCCAAATGTGCACGTAAAGAAAGAAGGCGTGGTTTCAGGAACAGCAGTGTTGATGCAGCCATGTCAGGGAGACACTGTGTGTTTCAGTGCGAAAGCAAAAGCACTTTATTTGGCCTTCCGGAACTAGATGCAATTAGGAATCATTGGTTAAGATTTCTTTACACCAAATACACAAAATAATGATCTTTAAACAAGCATCATATGACCCCTTTAAAGTTGCCACACAACTGTCACAGCACAACATTCACATTACTATTATTGGTAAACACAGCTATTAATGCAAATCTGTGATGATCTTATGATTTTAATGTGAAAAAGTGGTTTATCTCTCTAAAAGAGAGTTATGTCCTCATTATTGGAATTTGTGAGCTGATGATAGGGATTATTATAGTTAAAACGAAATAAAATATAAATATTTGATAGAAATATTGCCTCTCTGCAACTTCAAGTTGAAGTACTAAAAGTATCTAACTGGGGGGGAAAATAAAAAAAATTTATTAAACCAAAATACTAATATTCTTAAAAAAATAAATAAAAATGGAAAAAAAAAATGAAAACTGAAAATCTAAAAACAAGTTTAATTTAAAATGTAAATGAAAACAAATTTAATGTGGAAAAAGTGGTATAATACTCTATAAAGGTAAACATCATAAGCATATCCATTATGCGTTCATATTATGAGAATTTTGAATTTTGTTATTAAAGTTAAAAAAGTAAAATGATTGAAAATGTTAATTTATTCAATTAATAACATTAACATTTATACAGATAATGTATTTTGTGTGTATATATATATATATATATATATGTGTGTGTGTGTGTATATATATATGTATGTTCAAAGAAAATTTCAAATTGAAATTTGAAATGTTGCCTTGGCAACTAACCGAAATAAGTTGAAGCACTAAAACTACTAACTACTACTACAAAAAAAATAAAATTAAACAAAAACAGACAAAATAAATTTAAATCAAATTTGTATTGAATGTATAATTCAGGTTTATATTAATATAAACATTGATAGTAGATTCTGCTAAAAAACACTGGTTAATGAGTCGCAGTTTTCACTCACACATGGAGCGCATCAGCGCATGCAGTTCAACACACAATAGTGTGAATTTCCTGTCAGCGCTTATTTCAGTCACTTTGAAATTGTGTCTAGAAAACTGTTAAACAGACATAGGCTACTATATGAAAGCATGAAAGTAGCTGCATTTATTTCTGAGCAATGAAACACCATCTTCCTATAGTTTGGTGTTCCTGATCTCAGTATGAGGAGAAGTGAATGTCTTCCATTTATGTCTACTGAGAATGTGTTTGGCCTGTTGAGCTGGTATTCTTTCAGCAACAGCTGATTTGAGCACAGTGAAGTGATCTTAGGGAAGTGTAACTTCTGCTTTTCTTGTGATTAGCAGGCAGACAGCACCCTCTCACCGCCAGCAGCAGAGGAGAAACCAGAGGAGCTTTCAGCCTCAGACCGAGAAGATGAACTCGACAAGGATTCAGGGTCAAAGGTTAGAGTCAAGTAGCTTGAAAAAATATTATCTGTTTTTTAAAACTGATCACACGCTATTTAAGATGTTTCTGTTGCTCTGTCTGGAATGGAACTAACTTTAATGATTTAGAACAAGCTTCTCTTAGTTGTCATAAAAGCACTAGAACATAGAAGGGGCATTTCTGTATGTATTATTTACACACTTTAAAAAAATATACACAAAAAATGCATTTCGTACAGACAATGGATTTAATATACCTTTTGTGATTTAACATTATTAAAATATTTTAATTAAAACTGATTTTGATGTTTCATCCTGGGCTTAAAGTAAATAGGAGGCTTTACCATCCAGAAAGAAAAATAATAATAATAATAATGAAGACATAATATATAATATTATAATCATAATCTCAATCATAATATTTATAAAATATTATTTTATTAATATTATATTCAATAATATAATATTTCATATTTAAAATTATAATTATAAATTGTAAAAAAAAAATAAAAAATAAAATTATAAAGTAATTTTAAAAAGTAAATTTACATTTAACCAGCTAATTAGATGCCAAGACCTATATATCTATAATCAAAAAGTACACAAAAAGGCCTGCACTCTAAAAAATATTATATTATGTATTTAAAAACAACAGGTGAAGCTGTTTTTTAAATAAAAAAGTGAAAAGTAAAAAAAAGAATTTATGCAAAATTAAAGTCGGTTTTGTCAGCATTCAAAAAGGCATTTTGTTTTCACGTCACATAAACAGGAAATGACATCACAAGGAGGCTCACTGTTGACCCTCATGACTGTCAAGCCTTTTTTAGTATTCAGATTTAAGTTTAGCTAAACACTGAGAATACTTCATGGTATTATTTAAAAGAAATGGTATTTCTTGAAAATCTGTTTGCAAAATTTTTGAAAATCATGATTAGCATAAGCAATCAATTTCTAAAAAAATTAGCACATGCATCTGATTTTTTTCCTCAATATTTTTTGTATTTTTTTTTTGTCATTTGTCATTGCTCTTATTTGTACATCCCTACTTATCATTCCCCCAAAAGCTGACACAATAATTCAGGAGCTCCTAAACAATCTTCTATGATATCTGTAATTCTAGGACTAACCAAAAGGTGGCGCCAGGTAAGTAGCTGGATTTTTGAAAGGCCTTATTTCAGCCAGGGGTGACAGCATGAAAGACGCATTCATTTACATTTGAATGAAGCTTTCTATTCCTGTGCAAAACAGCAACATGCTCCACCTCATTATAGAGAAAATGATCATCTGTACCCTGCGAACATTTGTATGCAGATTAACCTGAGATGCGGCTAGTTAAAGACCAATAACGTAATGTTAAAACATAAGATTTTGTTTGATTTTTATTTAATTTTTTTTATTTTAATTTCTTTTTATTGTATTTCTATATATTTTTTATTTTATTTAAGTACAACAAGTATTATAAGTAAATATTGAGTCTTATATTTTGCTCATAGAGCTTTAAAACATTAAGTGTTTTGTTTTGCATTAAAGCTTCCTTTTTCAACCGCAGCACTTGCAAACTGTGGAAAAGATTCACACTTGAAAGCTCTTCACGCCTGAAAGCTCTTTCCAAGAAGCGAGACGAAACTGACTAGTCCTTCATAGGAATTATTCATATGATGCATTGAAGCTGAAATCATCTGCATAAAATGTGATATTTTTAATATTCTACAATGCAGCGAATCTCTTTCATTGACGTATTCATTACTGCATTCCGGTTTCACTACTGTGATTATTTGTCACCAGCCTGGTTGATTTCCACATGGAAAAATAATCATCTTACATGCAATTATTCAGTCACTCACCCCGCTCCTTTCATTCTTCTTTCAAAAGGAAACATATCTGGCTTGGTTCCTATTCAAGCACAGGTAAACAAATATTGCACGCAGTTTTAGGAAAAGAGACCTTGTTAGTGTAGCCTATATGAAAGAGTGCAAGTGTTTTCCCACTGTCTCGGACACTCTACAGCTGTCCTGAAAACAATTAGCCATCACGTGCGCTGCAAAAATCACCCAAACGCTCCATTTTCCATCACATTAATCAGTCTGACTGACACTTCAGTACATTAAGAGAAATTGACCATTGCTTTGGCTCACAAAACTAGTGGCTTCTGGTAAAACGGCATCCGATTAAAAAAAAACAAAAGGCATAGTTTAGAGCAATTTGGTGCTCGTTAGAGCCAATCATTCACCTCTGGCGAGTTTTAAGTGGGTTTTTTATGGTTGTGTGACCTGTCAAGAGAGCAAATTGGAGGAATTATCCTTTGTTTTTACTGTTCTCCCATTTCCACAAGCAGATTTGTTGTGTTTTTGTTTCTGGTATTCAGTGTGAGTCTGTGTACTGATAAACAGAGCGGCATTATGGGTGTTTCCTGTATTTGCTGTGTTGACTGCGTCTTTGCTGGGGTCTGTTTATGTCCGTTTGTGTACTGATGACTTTGTGGACTGTTTGCGTTGTTTATTTGCTTGAGTTCGTTCATTCTTCATAGCGCCGGGTTCCCCTCCACTCATACCGCAACTACAGAACAGGAAGAGGAACCTGCCATGCGTGTCGCATTATTTGTGTTACGAACTGTACAGTTTCACACTGACTCCTCCAAGCTCCAGATGATACTGACAGGTGGTTTTGTGAGTCATATCATATCCTGTTTCTTTCCCAGAGTGAATCCGAGCAGGATGAGGATGGAGGCAGTTTGGGATCCACCGCTGTGGCTGTGAGTGTACATAACTGATCATAACACACATAATAAGAAACATTTATTATGGCAAATTTACAGAAAAAATACTTTTTGTTACTGTTGCTACAATAAAACTGTGGTTTATATACCACTGTCATAAAAAAAGCAATTAAACCACAGAAAGATTCCTAGACTTTTTGAAGGAGATGGCATATTAATGTATCATAATTTGACAGTAAAAACAGTTTGGTTAAAGATTTTGTGCCCTTAAATTAAGACATTTAAGCTCAGGTTACTCCAGGTGTCTCCCTTTAAGAAGTACTGTAAGTTTGGTAGGGTAAAATCATCCGGTAAATGATTATTTTCTTACTATTTGTTGATATAAAAAAAATAATAATAATAATTTGCCATGGTAAATGTTTGGGATTATGTGGAATTTCTGAAACAAACTTGTGTCATACTTGGCGGCTAAGACACTACTGTTCAAAAGTTTGGGATCAATAGGAAAAGAAAAAAAAAAGATATTTTTGTTCAGCAAGGACACATTAAATTTATAAAAAGTAACAGTAAAGACATTTATTAAAGTATCCTGAAAAAAAAAAACACTGTTTCTACAAAAAAATATTAAGCAGTGTAACTGTTTTTAGCATTGATAATATTAAGAAATGTTTGTTGAGCAGCAAATCAGAATATTAGAATGATTCCTGAAGGATCATGTGACACTGAAGACTGGAGTAATGATGCTGAAAATTCAGCTTTCATCACAGGAATTATTTACATTTTACAATATATAAAAATAGAGAACTGTTCTTTTAAATTGTGATATTTCACAAAAGTACTCTTTTACTGTGATTGATCAAATAAATGCAGCCTTGGTAAGAGACTTCCGTCAAAAACATTTTACAGACCCCAGACGTTTTAGTAGTAGTGTAATTGTAAGTGAGATACTGAATTAAAATTTTTGATTTCAGTGTAATATCACTATTGTAAAGTACTTTTCTTATTTGTTTCCGTCCCTAGCTTGATCCTCTTGAGAAAGAGTGGATCTTCTCTGCAGCAAGTGGCAAACTGTCTCACCTCACTCAGCTCCTGAAGCAAGACTCCTCCCTGGCCAATAAAAAGGTAGATATCATCAGTATATACTCGCATTAAGTGTCCTGTGTTGCATAATGTGTCCCTCTCCGCCGGAATACATGAATTTGAATGCATGCGTCTCATATCATAAGCTCAGTTTTAATAATTAATGTTTCTTGGTCTTTTCACATGCTCGGAACAAAATAGGACTTCACCTCAGTAAGTTTGCAACCGATCATACAACACTGCGCGTACAGTAAAAGCTACAGTATAAGTTTAGACATGTATGTCTGAATTAATGTTTTTCATGATATTAAAAACCTCAACATGAGATGGAAATTAATTTGTGAAATTTTCTAAATTTTAAATAATTTAAAGACAAAATAAATATTTTAAATTATACTATATTAATAAATTAACTAAAATAAATTGTTAATAAACTAATTACAATTACATTAATACATTATATTATTAAATTAGTTAAAATAAATTAATCAAAATTCAATCAATCATTATAAAATATTAAAAATATATATTTTTTTAGTTCCTTGAATACTGTTTAAAAAGTAGGATGAAGCTTGCAACATTGATTGAGTGACTAAATCACTAAACAATAACCTTCCACTTTGTGATATTTGATAGTTTTATTGACTTCACTGATCTTCTGAAATGTCAAATGTAAAAAATTTTAATATTAAAGGAGCGGATGTTTCCAAACTTGACTGGTGATACAGTATACACAAAACCCCTAAAAGTCTTGAATAACAATTTACACTTGCTATAATTTTGTCATTGTAATTTTGTTCATTAATGGATTTCTCTCTCTCTCTCACTCACTCACTCACACACACACACACACACACACTCTCACTCTCTCTCTCTCTCTCTTATATCTCCTGGATTTGACTTCCAAAAGGGGGTGAGTTAAAATTTTTGTCTTTTTCATTGTTGGGGAAACTGTTTAAAAACGGTGTCGAGATCGCGACTTTTGCTTGGCTGTAAAGCTGCATTCTCACTCAACAGCAATGTAGTATTTTATCACACGTTGGAAAAGCTAGTTACTAGAAAAGCTAAAAAAAAATTTTTGTTAGTTCCTCATAAAAAACTTTTTTTTAAGCATTGTTATGTTTCAGGTGATTAGTACTGATTATTGTAAATGTTTGCCGGCGTGGTGAGAATCTCGTCAGCGACGTAAATGACGTTAGAGTTCTGGACCGCCGATTCCCTGTGGCTCCTCGCAAGGTTACTGACTTTCCACAGTTTCCACACTCGTACCCAGGTGCAACACAGACCAAAGAGCAAAGCTCAACCCCGATCATGCATTTCAAAGGCTTATTTTCAGAAGGATTATGAAAGATAGCTTTTTAGCTCCTTCACCCCCCAAAAACAAGCTAAAATCCTTTTATTTGTCCCCCCTGTGCGCTTAAGAGCTTTGAGCCGGAGTTTGTGGTCCCTGCCTGGGCCGGAGTTCTCACACTGTCCCGTGTCGGACCACCTTCTAAGAACCTCTAAGCCCTTCGCCTTCCCTGTGCAGACAAGATACAACGGCGGCCATTGAAGTGCGGGAGAGATTAGGCCTCACCTCAAAGACTTCAACCACTTAAAGATAATCTGAAAGTAATAGAGCAGGCTGGGATTAATTGCTCAATTTCGAAAAATTTACCCTTATGACTGGTTTTGTGGTCCAGGGTCACATATGTTCTATGAACTCAAAATTAATGTTTTCAATTGTAGATCATTATTCAGTCAGCTTGCATTTGAAATTAATGTAAGTATTAGTGGTGTAGAATTGTCTTAGTTTATCTAACTTGTGTATCAATTTGTTGAGCAATCTAAAAATACAGATAAATATGAAAATATAGAATAATAGTTACTTCTATACACCAAAGAAAGTTGTGTATATGTGCTGAAATGGAAAAAATCTTACGGAAAAGAATCACTCTAATGGTGACTTGAAACATACATTTAATGACAAAATACTATCAAAAACACTACATAGAGCTAAAACATCTGATATTTCTGAATAACAAATATTTGTTGTTATAACTCCATGTGCTTTGACTAAAAATAAAAATTATTCAAGTGAATAAAACTAAATTAACAAAAAATGGACTTTAATATTATATGTAATGTCAGCTTTTCCAACCTTTAAAGTAGAGTTTGTCTGACAAAACAAAAGTTGGATCCTTAAGGATGCTCATTTTTTGCTGTCCTGGATCTTTTCTGCCACTTCTATTGTTTAAGTCTTAAGTTTAAGTAGTTAAGCTTCGCCTTTAGCCCTCTCAGTCGCTAAAGTTACACATCACCCTGATCCCGTAACTCGACACGATCTCTGTTTTCCTTTCACACGTTGGAAGCTCCTTTGGGGGAAAATTCCAATTGAAGCTCTCACAGTGAAGCCCATAAATAAACAGTCACGATCTCAGATGCAACGTAAACACTCTTTGCTTTGAGCCACTCGAGCAGGACCGCTCGCTTTCTGGCCGCAAACGAGATAAAGGCCCTGATGCACTTCAAGTGAAATCAAAGATTAACAGGGTGTGACGTCATTTTGAACAAAATCGGACCAAATCAGCATTTTTTTGGAGTCCCACACATAACGTGGATACACTCTAAAAAATGCTGGGTTAAATACAACCCAGCGATTGGGTTGTTTTGACCCAGCAGTTGGGTTACTTAACCAGAAGGTTAGGTTAAACATTTAACCCAACTGTTGGTTGAAAACAACCCAATCGCTGGGTTTGTCCAAATTTTACCCAGTGCTGGGTTGTATTTAACCCAGCATTTTTAAGGGTGTATTAAGAATTTGTTCCCTTGTTTTAGTAAACTCTGGCCATGTTGTTCTAATTCATCACCTTGATTTGAATGAATTAAAACTAGGGAACGGATTAGTTCAACATGGCCATTATTTGCTAACAGGGTTTCTGTGGGTCTTAATTCACCCTTCCACAAAATTAAGGCCTAAAAGGTCTTAAATCAGAGTGGAAAATATTACATTCATAGTCATGGCATGTTGCATACCCTGCAAAAAAATGATATTTTGCACAGTATTTTTGTTTTGTTTTCCAATACAAACATCTAAACATCTTGTTTTCTGAGAAATTAAACAAAATTATGTGAGTTTATACTTAAAACAAGAACAAATATCTGTCAGTGAGGAATGAAAACTTGTTTTCACTTTTAAGTTGAATTTTCTGGGCCCATAGACAGATCTTATTTTAATCAAACTCTTTTTTGGTCTTTTTGGTTCTCAAGTAAATGTATTTTGATTTAGGAATCTTTAGGCGTTTGCATTTGAAAACAAGAATACAGATGAAGAACCCCCCCCCACACACTGTGTTTAGAAGGCAATAAATAAATAGTATTTATTAATAAATAAATATTTATTTATTTAATAAAATGAATTAAAAGGTTATTGAGATCTGTTGGAAGTTGTTGTTTTTTTTCAAACTTTGAAGCATTAATAAAAGACATTTACATTTAGAAAACATATTGACGTATTGTGTTCCATTAAATTTATTCCTTTAAATGTTCTTTACCTGGTCGTAAAAAGTCTAACATTTAAAGGCAGGTTATGTGATTTTTCAAAAATGGGTAGAGGCGTGTTTGTTTTGGTGATTTCAAATATCAACATTGGCTACCAGAAATCACTTACTCTGCCTTTAACGTCATAAAACCTGCCAACTCTAACTAAAATGAGGGAACATATTCTACAATATTGATGATAGACAATGGACCTTTTTTGCCCGTAAAAATCTGCTGAAATATTTCTAATATGGCCGTGCCTAAATACTGTTTGATACCATTATTCTCAGGTATTTTGGATTTCTTTTTACACCTACGCGAAGAATAAAACAAACTTTGCTGTACATCAGTAACCATCATCAGCTTCAGGTTCTTGCACAGCTATTCCAGAGTGGGAAAAAAAACTTTTTACAAAAATATGAAGCAGCGTTGTTAATAATAACAAACTGTCCTTGAGCAGCAAATCAGCATATTAGAATGATTTCTGAAACAAACTTTGCTGTACATCAGGTGTAAATGTAAATCCACCTGTGTGCTCATCTCTTTCTCCTTCTCTTCTTCTCCACCATGTCATCCTCTCCCGATGTATCCCGGACTTCCTCCTTCCTCCGCCCAGTTTGTGAGTACATCATTTGTCCATCGCTCTTCTTTAAAAGCCGCAGTGAATATGTCTCTATTGTGCCCCAGTGGTAGTCGTCACAAAGGTGCTATTTGGTTAGTGAGAGTTGAGGGTTCCCCGCCAGGCCAAAACAGGAACCTGAGGAACAAGGGTAGGAGACGTCACATCCTGTTGGCCGTCGTCCGTCTTGCCGAGCCTCCATGAGACCTGTCGCGCTGTCAGTCAAGCATGTGTGCCGGCCAATCCATCTCAAGGGTGCGACAGTTCAAACAATAGAGCGGCTGATAGGGAAACCAGACTTCATCTATCACAATATGTCCCACAGGCAGGACTGGAAACACCTACAGGAGACAGGACCCTCCCGTAGTACAGAACACATGCTTAAGAATACACAATAGTGGAGATATGGTGCGTATTGTGTACAGATGAAATAGTATGCAGTATGTGTACATAGATTTCTGACTGTAGTGCATTGTTGTCATGTGACTTTAGACAGTGAGTTGGGTCTAGTTATTGAAAAGTGTAATTTAGCATTTTTAATGACATTTTGTGTAAAAATGGGTTGAGTTACTAAAATCGTAGCTGTTAGATACTGCTTCAGGTTCTTACTTACATTCTTTTTTTTTTTTTTACAAAAATATGAAGCAGCGCAACTGTTTTAAACATTGATAATAATCAGAAATGTTTCTTGAGTAGCAAACCAGCATATTAGAATGATTTCTGAAGAATCATGTGACACTGAAGACTGGAGTAATGATGCTGAAAATTCAGCTTTGATCACAGGAATAAATTACATTTTAAAATATATTCAAATAGAAAACTGTTATTTTAAATGGTAATATTTCTAAACAATACTGTTTTTTTTTTTTTTTATGATCGAACAAATGCAGCCTTTGTTAAGCATAAATCACTTCTTTTAAAATCATTAACAAAATCTTACCAATACCAACATTTTGCACAGTAGCCACTAAAAGCATTTCAGTATGACAAATTGATGTCACATGACCTCAGTTTGTTTACTTCCAGAAGTTGTTTTATGTTTTTAGAGTAGTTTTGTGTAGAAATATCTTAAATCTAGGCAGTCCGAATTAGTATTTGACAAATTGGTGTAAAAATCAAAATATTATCAGCTGATATAGCATAGAGTAGTGATTACATTTTTTACTTTTGACACATTTATTTGGTATTTTTCACAATGCATTAAAATGAGTGAAACAGAAATTTAAAATTAAATAATGTAGATCAGAACTGTATTTAATTCTTTGCTACATATACATTTCTTTACAAAACAAAAAAATTCCATTCCATTCATTTTTTTTACTCTTTCAGTTTTGTGAAGAGTTTTGAGAGGTTTGGTTTAACTTTCGGGAAACAGAAAAATTAACTTAAATGGGATAGTTCACCCAAAAATGAAAATGACCTTGTGATTTACTAACTCTCAAGCTATCCTAGGTGTATACGACGTTCTTCTTTCAGACGAATACAATCAGAGATATATTTTAAAAAGTCCTGGCTCTTTCAAGCTTTATAATGGCAGTGAATGGGTGTTTCGGTTTGAAAGTCCAATAAAGTGCTTCCATCCATAATAAAAAGTGCTCCACACGGCTCCGGGGGGTTATTAAAGGCCTTCTGAAGCAAAGCGATGCATTTGTGAAAGAAAAATATCCGGTGAGAAAAACCAGTAAGAATATGCTAGTCTCTAGGGGTGTAACGGTACGTGTTTTCATACCGAACGGTTCACGGGGGAAATTCCAAATGGAAGTGATCATCCCTATGCCCTATCACTTCCATTTGGAATTTACCCCGTGAACCGTTCGGTACGAAAACACGTACTGTTACACCCCTACTAGTCTCACAAGATCCAAATTTTGTTTACAGCAAAGGAAAACCAGTCTCCTCTTGGTTTATATTGAAATCATCCAACATTTTTCTTTACAAATCCTCCTTTTGTACTTTTAATTAACCGGGTGTTTTATTTTGCTCTTTCCTCTGCGCTTCTGCATTCGTCACATTTTTCTTTCACAAATGCATCGGTTCGCTTCAAAAGGCATTTATCCGCTGTATGGAGCAGTTTTTATGATGGATGGATGCCCTTTATTGGGATCTAAACACCCATTCATTGCCATTATAAAGCTTGGAAGAGCCAGGACATTTTTTAAAAATATAACTCTGATTGTATTCGTCTGAAAGAAGAAAGTCCTATACACTTAGGATGGCTTGTAGGTGAGTAAATCATGGGGTAATTTTCATTTTTGGGTGAATTATACCTTTAAACAGTGTCAATTAAACTTTCCAGAAATAGAAAATTAAGCGTTAAATAATGTAGGTCAGAAATGCATTTTATTGAATTTGAGATGATAGTATTTAAAACATTTTTCCTCACCCGCATGACCCTTCTTGAAAGAAAAACATATCAAATGTGGAGAAAAGTTATTTGATCTTTTTTTTCTCCTCCACAATAACATTCACAGAAACTTAAGCACAGTACAAGCACATAAAGTGGCTGATTTTGATCCAGTGTCGTCTTGAAGAATCCACCTCACATCATCGTCCTGATAAAGGAGGTGTGTCGCTCAGGCTGAGGTCAATAGCTTCCCATCTTCTCCATTCGTTGTGTTTGAGAGCGCCGGGCGTTTGAAGCTCCAGCGTCCGTATGCATGTGTGCGGTGCGCGGCCCCTTCTCCTCCTGACAGGCCTTGTCAACAGCCTGATGCCTGGGTGGGTCCTCCATCAGAGGGTCATACCAACATCATCAATCTTGCACCCCGTGACAGGCCTGTGCTCCCCCTGCAGTGGGCACACTGGTTTGTTGTTTTGTAATTAGACCGCCATTAGATGGCAGGAAACCGTCCCCTCCACACCCTCTGTGCACAGCTGGGGCCCGCTGGAAGCCTATGGGACCCGCGGGCCACTCCACAGCGTGGCGTTAGGGGGGTGGGGATCTACCTAGTGGGAGAGAATGAACATGCGGAGTGTAAATGATGTATTACAAGATGAATCAGATGGCTTGACGATTGTGTACTAGCTCAAACAAGCTGACCAAGCAAGCAATATGAGAATTCAGATCGACTGTGCTGCCCAAATGTCTCAGACCACACTGAAAATCTGCTGTTTTTTGGATTTAGACAGACAATAACTTTTTTTAGGTTAGTTTTAGAATTTAGAAAAATGTTAAATGATTTAACCCATTTAATTAATTCTATGAAATTAATTTAATTAATTTTTAAAAATGGTTAAATAGACTTAAAAATGATTTTTAAAATGAAATTAAAACTATGAAATAACATGAATGCAAGTGTGAGAATTATGTAGTGACCAAAAATGTTAAACCAATCCTCTCAACCAATTTCGTTATGTGAAAAAATAAATGATAAAAAAATGAATGAATGAATGGATAGTCTAATAAATGTTTTTTTTAAATAAAGTCAAATAAATAAATATTTAAATAAAAATGCAGAATGTATGAAGAAATAATATTTGAAGGAGTACTTAAGATTCTGCACAATTTCTTGGTTAAATGTAGTAATAGTAAAAACATTTAAGAGTGAATGAATGAGTGAGGTAAAATAAAGTAAATATTAAAATAAAACAATATTAGTATTAGTAATATTTAGTATTCTGCACAATTTCTAGGTTAAATGTAATTAAAACATTTAAGGGTGAATTAATGAAAGAATGGATAAATAAAGTCAAAAAATGAATATTAGAATAAAATTATGATCAGAAATATTATTTGAGGATTGAATATTTAGTATTCTGCACAATTTCTAGGTCAAATGTAATGAATAAAAGCATTTAAAAATGAATATAAGAAATTGTGTAAAGAAAGTAAAATAATTAAATATTAAAATACATGTAAAAAATAAATAAATATTACAATAAAATAACCTTATAATGAAAAATACTATTTGAAGACTGAATATTTAGTATTCTGCACAATTTCTAGGTCAAACGTAAAAAAATAAAAGCATTTTAAAAATGAATAAAGGAAAGACATTGTACAGGAAGATGTTATTTAAATATGTTACATTTGATGTAAATGTGTTTATATATTATGCATATTTACATTTGTATATATTTAGTATTATAATGTTTCAATATCTCTCACAGACAGCGCTACACTGGGCTGCGAAACATGGTAAAGAAGACATGACCAATATGTTGGCAGAAGCAGGGGCTGACATCAATATAAAAGCAGTACGTGCCACTGCTTCATAAATCAATACCTTTTTAGCATACATGCCTAAACTGAAATGCATTTACTAATCATTGTGTTTTTGTCTTCTTTTCTCTCACAGCATGTAAGTACTGCTCACCTTACATTCACCCTTGCTGTGACAGCATGCCTGGGTTAATGTTTCTCACGTGTGTGCCAGGCTGCCAGAAAGTGTCCGTTTTTGAAATGTCCGCTTCTGACATAACTCCTGTGAAAGGGTATGCGGGTGCCCAGCTGTGCAAATGAAGCCAGGCGCTGTTTGAGAATGTCTGTTCATAAATCAAACTCTGTCATGTTAACAGCTTCCCTTAAACAATGTCTTCATGTATTCCAACAGCAGGCTCAGAGCAAAGCAATTTCACTGAATTACCAGGCAATTATGATTCTGTCATTAGATTTTGTTGCTGTAACCTCAGTTAATTTGTGTCCCGTCTTTCTCTCCCCCTCTTCTCTTCGTTCTGTCACTCTCTGGTTCTGTTGTGTTGTGTTTGTTATGATTGGGACATGGGCACTAGGAATTTTCCTTCACCCTGTCCATTTCCTTTTCATTTCTGTTTTGTGGTGAGATTGATCACTAGAGATATTTAAAATAGAAAACCTTTTCTGTTTGGGTGAATCTCACAGATAACATTTTCACCCCAAAATCAAAAGAAATTAAATAAAATTATATTTAGCAGTGGAGAAATTCACTAATTTTCAGTATTGTAATGTGTGAATTACTTTTGTGTTTATTTATTAATTTCATTCATTTTTGTCATTCTTCTTTAATATATATATATATATATATATATAAATGAAAATGTCACAGTGCAAAAATATAAAATATGTAAAATATTTGTAATATATGTAAAATATATTTTGTATTTAATTTTGTTTAATTGAATTTAATACCATATATTTATATTTATATATGTGTGTATTATGTACATATTACAGAAATGAAAATTATTAAATAGGCTTAAGTGTCATGAATATAATGTCACAGAGCAAAAAATCTGACAAATTTTACTTTATGTAAAATAGTTGTTAATGTAAAATATTGTTTGTATTAAATTGAATTAAATATTTTTGTTTAATTGAATTTAATACAAAATATGTATATATTTGTGTGTGTGTGTGTGTATTACAGCAGTGACAATTATTAAATAGGCTTAATTGTCATGAAAATAATGTCAATAGTGTGCAAAAACTCTAAAATATATTTTATACATAAAAACAAATATTACTACATGTAAAATATTTGTAAATGTAAAATATATTATGTATTTATTCAGTCTTTTGTTCTTACAGGGATACACACCGTTACACATCGCAGCACTGCACGGCCATCGACATATATTTGACCTGCTGGTCAGGACATACGGTAAGCATTCATACCTCAGAATGATTTGTTTTGCTTTGCTTTGCTTTGCTTTATTTTATTTGTTTATTTATTTATTTATTTTTATTTTTTATTTTTTATTATTTATTATTATTATTTTTATTTTATTTTTTTTATCTAAGCATGTAACTCAAATTACCAGAGCCAAAATAAACAAAATATCTTGAGATATTCCGAAATTAAATAAGACATAAATATAAAAGCAGTGACACTTGAGTTGCTTAATTTAATATCGCTGAAATATGAACATGTTCACAGGAGCGAAGGACAATCTGCGGGACTACAGCGGCCACTTAGCATATCATTACCTCAATTTACGGGAGACACAATTAGAAGACCATGAACTATGTGAGTCAATCTCCGTTCTCCTTTTTTTGTGCAAAAATGCAATGCAGCTGGGTGTTTGACGTGTGGCACATGTGGCACTGAGGATGTTTTCCACATTAACGCAGGCCAGGCATGTGGTTTCTCTGAATCTACGGGGTGCCTCGTGGATCAGTTTTGGACTGTTTGTCTTCACCCTATTTGTCCTTCCAGCATGTTATTTCATGCACAGTGTGGTCTTCTTAACACTGCTTCAATGTTTGTTCTCCAAGCTGAAGTCAGCGAGTGCCACAACCTGACCCAGGCCGGCGAGCGCAGGAACAGGAAGATCACCTCATTATTTCACTCCATGAAGAAGTGGGGTTCAGCGGAGGACCTGGCGCCCGTGCCGGAGGAGAGGACTGTTGCTCATCAGCTCATGCTGCCTGCGTTTAGACCCAGAAAGTTCTCACGGTAGACTGTGTGAAGTCTCGCTTTAGTGCCGCTTGAATAGTGTACAGATGAAAACACACTTTGCTGCTTTATTCGCACAAATAGTATGATGTAGTTGTATTCACATTTAAGTAGCTTTTTAGCTTTATTAGCATTTGTAGTATTATGCAACAGCAGTGTGTGATATTCTATAAGTGTAATGTCTTATTTTCTCTGCTAAAGGTTTACATTTTTCATTAAGCAATGAAAAGGTGCATTTTAAATGACCTGTTCATCTTATGATCCCAAAGTTTTACAAGTATGAAGAACTATGTTGTCTGTATGTTAATGCTAAAGTTCTGTCTTTAATAGAGACCAACTTCAGCTTTTATTTGCCTTATTTTCACCTTACCAAACTTAAAAGTCAGAATCACTGATTATGGTTCTTCTGTGAGAATGTTTTTCATCCTTGAAGACAACAAAATAAAACTGATTTTAGTATCTATAGTATATTACATATACTATACTAGTGTAGTATAGTATATTATATTTAATTTTGTATATGTAATATATTACATATAATATAAAAATATTTAACTTTTTGCATAGATAAGGTAGATAAATATTTAACTTTTTGCATAGATAGATAGATACCATATAAATGAACAATGTAAGTATAAATATTTTTTTCAGCTAAATAAATAAATCTGCTCCTGAAATAACTTTTTTTATGATGTCATGACAAAGGCTCTGTGCACCGGGAAAAATAATATCAGCCAATAATATCCCAAACAAGAGTTTTATGATCAAATTCCATTAAAAAAATGAGTCACACACTTTGAAATATTGAAATATATTTTTATGGAATTTAAATGCTTTGCGAGAGCCTTTTCTTTTATTCTTTTCTGCTGCTAATGTCTTGAATTGTATGTTTTAGCCCATTTTTTTTATATTAAAATAAATGTCTTTTGCATTCCAAAGGAGGATGTTGAGTAAATCTGCTAGTTTGTGCTTTATGCTGGAAATCTGAGGGTCTTTCCTGTTACCTGAGTGTTTATTTTCATAATGTAATTTATGTTCCCTTATATAAAACAAAAAATAAATTGTACTGTGTGTAATGTGTGCTTTTTTCCTGTTCATTATTCTGTTTTTTTCCCTCTAATTGTTGAGATCATTTTTTGTCATAAAGTGTTGCGCTCCAATCTCCCACCTTTCCTCCGGGCCCCTGCGCTAATCTAGCGTGCGGCTCTTTCATCGCTCTCCTGGATCACCCTAACAAGATTACACCCTATCAGATCTTCCACCTCAGTCACTGTCCCCCGGCTCGCACCTTCCTAGCGAAGCTCCTCGGTTCTTTTCTCTTCTCCTTCTTTGATGCCCATTGGTCGCTCGGCTTTGAGCTCCCCAGATGTAGCAAATATGGACCCTAGCGGCCCTCCGTAAGGTCCTGAGCCCTTAATTCCATTTTAGTCGCAAAAGGCCAGCGCTTGCTTTCGGGTTTTGGGTATCACAGGAGAAGACAGGCAAGTGGTTTTGTGCCTCATTTCTGAAGGGCATGGGGGTGTTTGAAGGATAAGAGGGCCTTGCTGTAATAGATACTTATCTGACTGCCCCGCAGTCCTCAAACACGCTGCTCCTCTGAAGAGATTAGAACCCAGGGAGGGCACATTAGCTCTAATCCCGTGCTTTGAGGGCTCTGCCCCACCCTGCGCTCCACTTATTCTTGCCCCTTCTGTTGCAGGGGATACCTTGTATCTGGCCCATGTGTAAGGGGAGCCTGTGGCTACACAGGAGGGGGGTCAGAGGGTGTGTGCGTGTCTGCGTTTGCGGGGGGGAGCCGCTGAAAAGCCCGGAGAGGCCTCCACTGCTGTGTAACTGATTCCCGGCTCTCTGAAGAGATTAGGCGCTACATTGTTGGTTTGGTTGCTCATTTCCATCTGAGGGCCGCTCCCCCTGCGGTTAGGGGCCGCCGTTGTGCCGGGGAGGGGGAACTGAAACCAGCGGCTCAAGGCCTCCAGCTTCCTTGTAGTCTTTGTTTTACAAATGACCCAAAATGTAGATGTCATGTCACAGATGCCTTACAAGCTCACAAGGTATTGATTGTGTGGAGAAAACCGTGCATTTAAGCGCTTCATGCGAGTCTCGATGCTGGCTGTTATTTTCTGAGTTTCTGATCACAAATGATCAATGATGTCTTAACTATCCATCAGTTACCGTTTTGTCTATCCACCTGACTGTCTATATCTCTATCTATCTAATACATTTTTGATCTATCCATCTATCTCTGTCCTTTTCTCTGCCTGTCTGTCTTTCTATCTATCGTTCTGCCCATCTACCTGACTATCTATCTATCTGTCTATCTGTCTGTCTGTCTGTCAAATGCATTATCTATCTGTCTATCTATCTATCAAATGCATATCTGTCTGTCTGTCTGTCTAATGCATTATCTATCTGTCTATCTGTCTATCTATCTATCTATCTATCAAATGCATATCTGTCTATCTGTCTGTCTGTCTGTCTGTCTGTCAAATGCATTATCTATCTGTCTATCTATCTATCTATCTATCTATCAAATGCATATCTATCTATCAAATGCATATCTCTAACTATCAATCAATCAAATGCATATCTATCTATCTATCAAATGCATATCTATCTATCTATCAAATGCATATCTCTATCTATCTATCAAATGCATATCTATCTATCTATCAATCAAATGCATATCTATCTATCAAATGCATATCTATCTATCAAATGCATATCTCTATCTATCTATCTATCTATCAAATGCATATCTGTCTATCTATCTATCAAATGCATATCTATCTATCTATCTATCAAATACATATCTATCAAATACATATCTATCTATCTATCTATCAAATACATATCTATCTATCAAATGCATCTCTATCTATCAATCAAATGCATATCTATCTATCTATATATCTATCAAATGCACATCTATCTATCTATCTATCAAATACATATCTATATATCTATCAAATGCATATATATCTATATATCTATCTATCAAATGCATATCTAGCTATCTATCATCTACCTACCTATCTGCTTGTCTGTCTTAATACATTTTAGATTTGTCTATACATATATTTGTGTCTATATTTCTGTCTGTCTCTCTTTCTGTTTATAGAACTGAGGTGTTCTCTTGTTACTGTCTTGTTCTATACTTTTTTTTGCAGCATCCCAGTCTTTCGTTCAAGCAGCAGAACATGTAGCAGGAATCTGGATGCCGTATGGACGCAGTGCACTGTATTCTCAACCACACATAATGATGCTAATGTAGATGGGCCCCAATCTACAGCACAAACTCCAACCACCATGCCGCCTGTTACAGGCTAACGAACACCACCTGTCACTCACCCCATGCTGTCAATCAAATCACACCCTAAAAGAGAAAGAGGAGTGGGCGGGCCCGGTCCAGACCCCTAACAAAGGCATCCTCCCATTGGTGAGTACTTGCACTGTCACTTCTCTGTAAAAAAAGAGTGATAGAGTGGGACTGATAACACAAATGACAAAAGATAGATGGATAGTGGAGGGGGTGGTTGATAAAGGAGAGGTGGGAAAGACTGATAACATTCACGTTCAGCTAACTTCCCTCTGTTTGGGCCTGTGGACTTGGCATAGCTCATTAGCTCTCAAAATGAGGGTTTTGAACGCTAAAAACAACGGCATTGTTTTAGGAGGCCAACACTTTTATGAGGTCATGCCATTTAAAATGAGACCTGTCTTGTAATGAAATGGCCCATATAAAAACAAACTTCTTTTTGAAAGGTGATTTTAAACGATTTATTTTAATTTATTTAGGTTTGTCAACTTAAAAAATGTGCTTCATAACATTCAAATGACTCATAACCTTTTATTTAGGTCAATATTAAAATATATTTAGTACAAAAAAAATTAAAGTCTTTTTTAAAGGTCATATTAGGTGGAAAAAGCTCCTTAAAGTAACATCTTGCTTTATTTATTTGTTTGTTTCTTTAGACTAAATTCCTCTACATTATACTTTAGTAAAAAATAAATGTGATAATTCCTTTTTAGCTATTATTCTTTTAGGTTTAATGCTAACTTGATTCACAGTGTTTAATTAAATTTGACCTCTTCTCACCTCAAAACGACTTAAAAAGGAATTACTTCCAGAAAGAAAAACTAACATGTCGAAGGTGTGAAACACTCTCTGTGGATTCCCTTCATGCTTTTGTTAACAGATCTTATTGACACCTGACTATTGGCCATTCTAATGACATGTTCAAGCCTTTTGTCTGCTCAGCGGTATGTGATGAGCGCTAAATGAAGTTACACCTCTGCCCATTGTCATTATCAACTCATTAGGACACACATACTGCACTCAATGGGTGATCCTCCCAATTTGCAAAGAATTCCATGTGTGTAAAATGCAGATAGTTTAATTTTCAGTTTTGGAGTACCTAGACACAGACCAGTCTGGTTTTGTCTTGACATGTTTAAGATTTAAATTTTCTCACCAGTAGAAACTATGGTTTATTTTGATGGTGTATTAATTCAAGCTTGGAGAAGCTGATTAATTACAGATTTCTTCTTTTACGTCACATACAGTATAACTACAGCATCAAATAAATAAATTACATATATATATATATGTCCATGAAATAAATTAAAATTAGAATTATTTACCATTTACCATGTATAGATGATTATTTTTTCTTTTTATTTACTGTGTATTTGTATGGTTATTTTATTGAATTTTAACAGACACTTTAGAGTATATCTTGTAGTAAAACCAAGTTTTGTGCATATACATTTTATTATTTGTTTATTTTTAATTAATTAATTTGTTTTATTTATTTATGAGTATGTCATTTTCCATCCATTTGCATGGTTATTTCAGTTTATTTAGTTTTTTTATTTTAACTGCTATTTTAGGGTATGTCTTAAAGCCAAATTTTGTGCTTATTTATTAGATTTTTTTAATTTACCATATTTGTATTTTTAACAGCCATTTTGAGTATGTCATAGTCAAACCAAGTTTTGTGCTTGCTTATTTATGAGTTTATTCATCTAGGTAATTTTTTTATTTACCATGCATTTGCATGGTTGCTTTATTTTATTTACTTTTATTTTCTAAGCCATTTTACACTAGCCATTTTCTATAGTAAAACCAGGTTTTGTACATATTTTTATGTATTGCATTTTTATGTTTCTATTTAAAATTCTGTTATGTATATTTGTAATATATAAACTAACTGTATATAATATGTGTATTTATTATATTTATTTATTGTCCAAATGATTAATTATGACCTATGAAAATATCTTTTCAGTAAACATATGTTATGATGATTTGAGGATTCCAGCTGACCTTGATGTGTAGAAGTAACACTAAGCTGGTAAGTACTGGCCCCTGTTTCTCTGAACCTGCAGTTGTTGATTTGTATTGATTCATCTGGTTGATCTGTTCGGTTAAGCACAACACAAACCATGAGGATTCTGACAGGAGGAGTTCCAGTAGAGTGAAACAAAATTGAATTAAGCTCTCAGGAGAAATCTCCACTCCCACCGATCTTGATTTCTCTGCTTTCTCTGTGGTGAAAGACTGGAAAAGCTGATCTCTTATCTGAAGTATGTCGGTCTGCTATCTCACACTGTTCTCCTCTCGGCAAATGACTGACATCCTGTGAGCAAACAGTCTTAACTGGACCTGTCGGAACATGAGTACACCTGTATTGTGTGCGAGAAGAGAGGAAAGAGAGGAGAAAGCCGAGTGTGTGAGGAACACAGTAATCACAGCCCTGAGCTGCTTATCTCCAGAGATGCAGCATAAGCTTTGCTCTTTGCTCTCCGTTTTGACCATTGTGCTAGCTGAGTAAATTTGCTCTTGGCCCGAGGGGATCTGAACCCCACCCTGCTTCCAAACTTATCTGTCCGTCTGTCAGCCCTTCAAATGTCTCACACCTTCACACAACCTCACCCTACAAAAACTTAATAAACATTTCCAAATAAAGGTGATGAACCTTTGGAAAAGATCAAGGCAAGCAACACTTCTTTTCATCAGAAACCCTACTGAAATACTACATAAGATGCGACTAAACTTAATTCTGAGACTCTGTCTGAGTTTTAGGAAACAATGCATGCCAGCATTGTCTACTAGATAACAGATTAAAGAGCGAGTTTCAACAAAAAAACTTGTATTTCCAATGTCAGAGAGCCTGCACCCCCTGCTATCCGGTTGTTTGCTGTGCTTTTCTTTCCAGGGCATTGGTATGTATGTTTAGGAATTCTAATCTTATCTGAGTATCTCCCTACATTAACATCTGTTATGCTGCAATTACCATATACATTAGTCGACACCTGTTTCGCTTAAACCTATTTAATTACGCCAATTGTACTAGTTTGTTGTGGGCAAAAGCAAAGTCATCCCCTTTTAAAAGAGGTATGTATGATGTTCGGTCACAATAAAGCCAAATAGCCTAATTCATAGTCCAGGGTCGTTCGGAACCGAAAGAAAAAAATCATTTGCGACCGTGCGGAAATGATTTAGACTACATAAATGAAATTAGAAAAATAGTTTCGCTTTTAGACTAGTTTATTTGATTTAAAAAAAAATAATAATCGGCGTGTATAGGCTATAAACAAGATTTTTTTATGTCTACTGTGTAAATGATATCTGATTTAAAGAATACATCAAATTCTCTCTGATTAAACAAATTGTATTTTTAATAACTTTAACGAAAATATTAGCTATTTTAATTTTTTTTTTACATTAAAGTAGGCTACATTAATTTTGCTAAATGTTCATGAAAGCTAATCTACTTTTATACCAATGAATCAAACGTGCAACGCAAGTTAAATCCATCTGCAATAGTTTTTTTTAACTTGCACTAAATCTAATGTCAAAACAAAGCAACTAAAGTTTCCAAATCGGTGTTTAGTTAAAACCGCTACAAGGTCTTTTCTTACTCTTTCGAACGCCTCAGACACACATTGCACCGTGTTGCTAATCAAATTCTGATAATGGCTTGTCATGTCGTGTCTTGTATCGGTTTGCTCAGACAAAAAGATGAAACGGTCTCAGCAAGATGGAAAAAAGTTTATTCTGAGACGTTAATGTGCGACATTTGTAGCTGTTCCGATGGCTTTCAATCGCTTCTCTCGGCTGAGCATCATTCAGTTCAATTAGAAGTGTTTACATGCAATCAAGATTAAATGAAACCTATAAAACAAAAACAAAATAGGCTATATTAAATATAAAAGTGATTTCTACAAACACCATTAAAAATATTGAATGAAAACATGTAGCCATAAATAGGCTACCATCTGATTGTTTGACTTTAAGTCATCAAGACTTTAAGAAGTTTAAATAGGCCTAATATTTATCCTATAAATCAAAACAGACAGATTTTCTACGTGAAGCTTATTTTCATGGTTTTAATAATTAGCCTATATGAAAGTATTTTAGATCGACGTACAATCAAACACCAATCTCATTTAGGAGCACTTCCAAAACAAAACAAAAAATGCGAATTTCGAATGGAGCCCTACTGTTTTCCACTCTTCAGTACGGATAAGCGTGAGATAAGCATCATGAGTTTAAAGACTTTTAGAGGTCGTTAAAAGGAACAACCGAAATTCTCCTTTGAAGGGATTTAGCCCCAGTGAAAGCCTTTGGATCACAGCTGTCAATCAACCACCATGGCACCGCCCACTGGTGCGGCTCCGCCTATAAAGAGCGCCCGTGAACTCGACGGAGTGTCATTCATACACCAAAGCTCAGGGAGTAAGGATGCCTGCTTCTCCAACGGGGTTTGGAAACTTCTTCATGGACAGGAACATCAACATGCCCGCTGGATATCAATTATTGGGCTGCCCGCCTGGAATGCAACAGCTACCGCCACATCTTGTGGGAATGGCTGGGGTTCCCTTACCTTTCTCAGGAATACCGGGGTACAGTTTCATCCCTTATCCTCATCCGGGACACATGGCACACATTGTAAGTATTCTGAAGTATTATATATATATATATATATTGCATATGCATTACAATTCAATGCAATTTTTTAGATTTTATTTTGTACGTATTACAAATGGTATAGCCTAATGCATGTGGAAAATTAAAAACACGACAAACTGAAAAATTATTCCTTTATTGTATTTCAACATGCATATTCTTCATATTCTAAAACCGAATCTCTTGCTTACTTTCAGAGCAATTCCTATGACCTCAAGGCTGCATCTCCGTATCACCAAGCTCTCTTCGGACGTGGAGGACCCTATTACACTCCATATCGTCCCATGCCAGCTGATGACCCGAGTAGGGTCACCAAAGTGGCCACTAGAGAGAGCACCAGCGCTTTGAAGGCCTGGCTCAGCGAGCACCTTAAAAACCCATATCCCACCAAAGGCGAGAAGATCATGCTCGCCATCGTCACCAAGATGAGCCTCACGCAGGTGTCGACGTGGTTCGCCAACGCCCGGCGCCGCCTCAAGAAAGAGAACCGGGTCAGCTGGGCCTCCAAAGGAAAGTCCGACGAGGAGGATGAGGAAGAGGAGGGTGAGAGCGAAGAGGAGGGGTCTTTGAGGAAAGGCACGGAGGACGAAGATGAAATCGATCCTCAAACGGTTGATGATGATGATGATGAGGAGGAGGAGGATGTCGCGGGGTCAAAGTCGGTCGAGGACCGTTTAGCGGAAGGACTTGATCAGCAAAAGGAAAGTGACAAGTCTGACACGTCGTGTGAGAGCAAAAAAGAGGTGTGTAAACAAAACGTCGATGTCCAGAAACCTAAAATCTGGTCTCTCGCGGAAACCGCGACTTCAGATATCGTCAAGAAACCCAGCGATCTGAAACATCTTCACAGTCCAGACTTTGGGAAGTGGTGGGCTGGATGGCCTTCAAGGGACTCCTACTCGCCTGTAAACCTCTCCACACATGACCTGCCCAAACAAAGTCAATGAAACTGTTCATCCAAGAGACTATAGACTGAATTTTGCACTTTGAAAACCATTGGGAACGTTTTGTTGTGGAAGTTTGCATAGGCTACAAGATTTAATCCAAAGGATGCGTATTGTGTAAATATTGTACAGATATTTTGTTTAAATTATAAATGCATTTACCTGCTGACTTATTTTTGCTAAAATAAAACGTTGAAAAATTGAAAAGTTTTGGTCATGGTCAATGGTAATGGTAAAATCCCTTTATCCAAAGTCTTTGGTAATGGTTTGGGGTTTGTTTACATGATTTAAGTACGAGTTGCGTTTAATTATTATTATTATTATTTATTTTTTTTTAAGCGTTGAATTTTTGCTTTTAGGTTACAGCTTACTCTCGATTTCCAGCTGTAATGCTGTAGTTTCTTAAAGTCCTAAAGACCCGTTAATTAAAGCAATAAGTCACGAAAAGTCTCACATTTCAGTTAATTTAACTCGCTGAAGTGTTTGTAACCAGAAACATAATTAAACGGACCATCGTTTAACAAATAGGAACCTTATGAAATTTAATAATCGAAATAAAAAATAATATAGATCGTTATGCTGTTTACACAAGCAATTAAAGCATCAACATGATGGAAACTGTATAGACCTACTGGCTTCAAGGCTCGCCTCACCCAATAAAAATTGGCGCACAACTAGGCCTAATAAAAGTTATAAAATAAACAGCGTTTAATAATAAATCAAATTCGACAATAATTGGATTAAACAAATCTTATTCCGCATTTTAGCTTAACCATTCACTGGCTGCCAAAAAAAAAAAAAATGGCATAGCCTAAAATAGCTTACTTAACAATACGTTCTAACGCGTCTCATCCAATCAGAGAACTAGAGGTTTTATAGTCACACCTTTATCCATGATCACGCTCTAAAACCTTAAAAAGTACATGTTCACAGTCGAACTTTATATATGTTAACTGACGTCGTTCACGAGGAGTTCTCAGATTTTGGAGGCAGACCAAGACGCGTTCAAAGCGTTTCACTTCAAGGCTGGATTTAGGCTTCGTGTTATCAGTGAGGACACTACTATTGAGGGATTTGCATATCTGTCTCTGATCTGTTAAAACAATTCAAAGCAGCGCGGATTAAGGACACGAATTGTTCCGTCTTAAAGGGCAATAATTAAGATTATTCTTGTTTAGTCACGACTTGACAGACGAAAAGTGCCAGAGGCTTCTACCTTTACCCTCATTTAGTGCTTAAATGTATGGGATCAAACGTGAACAAAGTGACTTGTGAGAAAATAAATAGTATACTGACAAAAGTCAAGTGCAAAAAGGTAAAACTGTACCTGTTAAGTAATATAAGACAACTTGAAATGGAATAATTTGATATGATTAAAATAATATTATAATACAGTATAGAATAAAACGTGAGAGAAAAAATAAAACGTCCAAAAGGTTAAATAAATAAACAGGCTAAAATAAATAAAGTCCAAAAGTAGTAGTAGTAGTAATAATAATAAAATGAACAAACATGGTACTCACAATTAAATATAGAATAAAAATACTTATGCAAAAAAAAATTTAAAAAAAGTCCAAAAGGGTCAAATAAATAAACAAATGTAGCAATTTATTATAATATAACATAAACACGGTACTTGCAATTAAAAAAAAGTCCTGTGCATATTTCACCAATCATATCATTTTTAATTGCTACTAGAAAACGATCAAATAAATAAAATAAAATAAAATAATAATAAAATAGTCAAATAAACTGCTCCATCAAGGAATGGGGCATCAAAAATCTTGCATCCTTTGGTTTCTTTTATAACTCTCTCTGACACAAACACACCAATGGGATTAGGCCTTGGGACAATATTCTGTTTTTGCGGCCTCCCCTCTGCAGAGGGAATGATAAAAGGAAAACTCTTCCTTGCCAATCACTATGGCCTCCATGTAAATTCAAAGGCCTGTGGCCTGTTAATCCAAGGATAATGAGAAAACCCCCGAGTACAAAAAAGGAGCACCTCCCACCCGCGCCCCGAGCACATATTCACAGCTAACACACACTGGGCACAACAATCTCCTCCATGCCCCCCTTTCAGTGGCCCAAATGATGTGTAATCCCAGTCTAAACATGACAGGCAAAAGGCTGTGATATTGAGATAAGGACTGAGGCGTTGAACAATGGCGCGAGATACAATGCCTAAATCGGCCATCAATGTGCTTCTCGATCCGAGCATATGGTCATATGCTTTGGATACTACGGCCTTATTTATAGTTCAACAAGCTACTTTTGGATTTGTGTGTTTAGATTTATTCAAAAGTATGAGCTTTATAAGAATGTCAAATCAAAAATCTACACATAAATCCAAAACAAACTTTACATTTTCTAGAGGGAGATAAAGTAAGAAAAATAGTGCGCCTTGTGATTTTACTATGAGCCAAAAGTTAGATTAAACGTTGAACTGTTTCATGCCAAAATTCCTCAAATATGGAAATGGCAACCTCTTGTGGACAGTCGGAGTATCCCACAGTGCATGAGCGATTCATGTACAACTCAGTTTCACACCAGTTTTTTTGAGAACATTTCACACCTCATAAGTAGCGAGTGAAAATCGTATAGTGATAGACTGGTAATTATTTATGGAGAATCAGGAATTTTTTTTAATATGTACAGAGAATCAGCAATTTATTTAACATGTACAGACTGAGGATTTTCCACATAAATCTGAAATAAAATGCAATACAAAATTCATAATAAAAGAAACAAAACTGGTAATGTACAATGGAAATATTTACACAAAATGCAAAGCAACACAGATTTCACAACAATTAACAGTTTAAATGTCAAAGATCAAGATGACAAAGACGAAACATTAAAAAACATATTATACATGATTTTGTGAACATAATAACACTCACACTTCTGTACCACATTATTTTCAATCCCAACTTACACTTTTAAGTTCTAAGAACTTTCTATGAATGCTCAAAACTTAAATTTTTTAATTAAACAAGCATTTTGGAAAACACTTAGCTGAATAGGTGTGTAGTCCTAAATTTACAGTACCAAACAAAAGCACTGGAATGTATGTGTGTTGGTTTTGTGCAGTCACATTGGTGTTACTGTGAGTCTTTTTATTAGCAGACTACAGCTATTGTGAGGGAAAATCTCCTTAGGAGCATTAGCAATTCTTCTTTTTTTCTCCACTCTTTTAGAATAAGACAGCGCTATAGTGTCAGGTTTTCATTTTGGTTTGCTTCTAAATAGATTTGATTGCCTTTCATTTTAAACTCAGATTTATTGTAATACTTTTCTGTCATGACAACTCTAGACCTATCGGACTGCGCCATCTAGAGTTTCATGCCAGAACTCTGTATTTCAGCATATTGTAACAATCACATGCAAGTGCTAATGCAACTGCGAACACTCAGCAGCAGTGAGTAGTATTTATATATTTGTACTTATATATAAGTATTTCATGTTTCAGTCATGAAAAAGAACACATGATTTTGTAAGACACATGAAGACATTTAGAGTAAAGCAGTGCTTTATAGTGTAATGCTCTATTTATATAGATGATTGTAACATGATGGGAGCACAGCTGTCTGTACTTTGCAGAAGACTGTGCTCTACGAAAATGAATTTGATTCAGTAGTTGGGGTAATAGTGAGTTTGCCATCCTCTTGTGCTACGTAATTTCCATTGTCAGTCAAGTTGCTTAGCGTGGGGCTCACGGGCACGCTATGGTCAATGTCCTCCTGAGGCTGTTGAATTGCTGGTCGGTATGCTCTCTCCACATCTTCATTTTCTCCATGTGTTAAGACCTCTATGGTTTTTTTGGGGAGCTAAAAACAAAAGAACCATTATCATTCATTTCTAAACATGAGCATTTTGCTTTCCTTTGTTGCTTGTGACTGAATGGCAAACCCAGACATTTACCTTATAACATCCAGATTTTCCTAGAAGAAAGTAAAAACACAGTTAATGATAAAAAGCTGTAATATGAGCACTTTAGCGCATAGGAATTGATTGTGAGAAACGGTATACACTGCGGTATTGTAGATAAATTAATTCGATCATTAGTAGGTTGCAGCACTTACTTTTTTTAATGAAAACGAATACTGCAGATGCGACGATTAACAGAGAAACTCCCACCCCAATGAGAACTCCGTAAGTGGGTGTACCAGCCACTGAAACAAAACACAGATCACAATCTTCATCATTTCTACTAGTATGGGTAATCAAAACATTACTACTGACAGCATTTTAAAACATCTTAGTACTTAATGCAAACTATGCCGTGTTTTAAATAAGCATGGTTTTTTGATTCTCAAAAGTGAACACACCAGTTTAGCTATACAGGAACTAAAATCTACCCACACAACTCTCAAGTTTCACTATTGTGTTTTCAATGTTCAAATAAAGCCTTTAGACTTAGTCCACATTAAGAGCTATCAAATCAACAACAATTTCCATTCTACTGACTATTTAAGATTCATATTGACTTTGGGCAAAGAGTGACTAAGTGGCTAAAAGCATTTTTTACAGTGTACTCACCACAGGTCTGATCTGAGTTTGAACTGCCAGGAGTGTTCTGAACATATCCAGATTTACATCTAGAGGAAAAAAAAAAAAAAAGAGTTGAGTTGAGACTTGAACTCAGGGAATTATTTCTGTTATTTCATTCAGAATGACTGAATCAACCAGATTGCATTAGGTTACAAAAGGAATTTAGATCAGGCAGATATATTCTTTTTTGGGTAACAATTGCATGTTACCCAATTGTTGCACACTCAACATCCCAGAACAAAAATATGTTCTAAGAATATTTTGCTAACGTTCCCATTATGCTATTAAAAATTTGTTTCTATATGTTCTCCGAAAGTTCAAAACATCCAGTTTTTAATGTTTTAAAAAACACTTGTTTATGTGAAAGTTGAAGAAAACATTAAGTGAACGTTCCGTTTTATAATTTTGGAAACATTATGGGAATGTTACTTTTTGAATGTTCTCTGAACCACCCGAAACTAGAAGGTAGCAACGTTTTTTAAAAATGTTGGACCAAAGCCCAACCAAAAACATTTCATGAATGATGTATATTATAAACAGCGTTTTTGTGCTACCATTTTGGGAATGTTTTTAATTACCAGATAACTTTGAACAAATATTCTATTAACATTACTGGAAGAAAGTTTGAGAGAACGTTGCCAGAACGTGGTTCCCTGTTAGCTGGGATTTCATCCCGTTACACTAACCTAAGACACAATAGTATATGAGACCAGCACTAACAGAAAAAAACAAAGGGACTTAATATCAGAAGGCTTTCTCATACTCGCTCCATTTCCTGCAGGTGTCAGATGAATCATTGGTGGAGAATGTTCCATGTTCACATGCCTCACACGCAGTATCACTAACCGGTGAACCTGTCAAAATACAGGGTGACGAGAGGCAAAAATGAAACCCTTGTGTCTATTCAGTGTAAATGATGTCTATGCACTGGGTTTGAACCACTAGCTACACCACGCCATTCAGCTTCCTCCAAGTGTCTTTGGCCATTTAGATAATTACAATGATTGTAAAACACATTTAAAATGATATTTTGTGACATATTATTAGATTCATTTTTTAATAACAATGTAAAGGTACAAATTAGGACAGACCTTTTTTGACAACTCTCTGTCCTGGCTTGCAAACTGTCTGTTTTGTACAAGTGTCGCAGTCATCATCTTGTGTACAGTAGTATCCAGGTTCACACTGACATCTGCTTAGCCTGGTCTTGCTGGGTTCATTTTGTGGCAGAAAATGTAAATCTGAAAATTGAATGAAAATGAAAAGAAAATCAAGAGAGAGAAAAAAAGAGTAAACTTCACGGAGACCTTCCAATTACATTTATTCACTTAGCGGATGCTTTTATTTATAACCTAAAAATTTGGATTCATTTATACTAATATTAATAGTTCTTTAAACAATTTATTATTACACTCTAAAAAATGCTGGGTTAAATACAACCCAGTGCTGGGTAAAATAGGGACAAACCCAGCAATTGGGTTGTATTTAACCCAGCATTTTTTAGAGTGTAATAATAAAAACCACTAGCTACACCACGCCATTCAGCTTCCTCCAAGTGTCTTTGGCCATTTAGATAATTACAATGATTGTAAAACACATTTAAAATGATATTTTGTGACATATTATTAGATTCATTTTTTAATAACAATGTAAAGGTACAAATTAGGACAGACCTTTTTTGACAACTCTCTGTCCTGGCTTGCAAACTGTCTGTTTTGTACAAGTGTCGCAGTCATCATCTTGTGTACAGTAGTATCCAGGTTCACACTGACATCTGCTTAGCCTGGTCTTGCTGGGTTCATTTTGTGGCAGAAAATGTAAATCTGAAAATTGAATGAAAATGAAAAGAAAATCAAGAGAGAGAAAAAAAGTGTAAACTTCACGGAGACCTTCCAATTACATTTATTCACTTAGCGGATGCTTTTATTTATAACCTAAAAATTTGGATTCATTTATACTAATATTAATAGTTCTTTAAACAATTTATTATTACACTCTAAAAAATGCTGGGTTAAATACAACCCAATTGCTGGGTTTGTCCCTATTTTACCCAGCACTGGGTTGTATTTAACCCAGCATTTTTTAGAGTGTAATATTAACAGATATTGCTAGTATGCTAAAATATAAAAAATACGTGCAACTGTCTAAAAACATAGATACATTAATCTTTAAAAAATTGTGTTTAAGAAAAACACTCACTAGGGTCACAGCTGGGCTGGCGCTCACATCTGGTTTCGCTTGTGTAGCCACTCTGATATTCTCCGTCTTGGCAGTCCTGACAGCGCGGGTCCTCGCAGTTATCATCCACCAACATCCTCTTACCTGTGACACACTCACAGTAACTACCCGCTCTGATTAGACTAAGAGATTCGTATATTAATTAAAGGAGGAATAAGAGTAAGCAAAACATGATATTATTGTTTTTTTTTTCAAGGCCACATGTAAAACAATATCAACTATACAAAGTAAGGCATTGGCAATTAAAACAATATGGTACTGTAGCTGAGTAGACTATTCATGTGTATTTTTTTATAGAAAACAAGGGAAGTAGGCTACATGCTGATACTTCCTCTAGACTACGTCAGTTTACTGTCACGCCACATTGAATTACAGTTCGTCCACATACCTGGTCCACACTTCTTACAGCATTTACCATCCTTCGAATAATGTGTATCCTTCTCACAGCATGACACAAGGTACAACAATGTGACCTGTCAAAAGTAAATGCATAAAGAACATTATGAAGAATATTAACCCTTGTGTTGTGCTGAAAATCCTTTACCTACACTCTAAAAAATGCTGGGTTAAAAAGGGACAAACCCAGCTATTGGGTTGTTTTGACCCAGCGGTTGGGTTATATTTAACCCAGCATTTTTTAGAGTGTAATTGGTGTTCCCGGTACAAAATTACTTGTAAATCTTTAATTATGCTATATTATCACCAAATCTTGGATTCAATCTTTTTGTCAACTTGTTTTCTTTCAATTAGCACAGGTTTTGTATTTCTTTTTCGGAATTGATTGGTCATAAGCCTTATTAATCTGCGGTTATGCACCTCAGTTTTTGAGTGAAAACAAGCATTATTTGTATTGTTGTTCACTCAGAAACGGAGGAGCTCAGATCAGTGAGACCTACGATCAATACAAAACCTGTGCTAATTGAAAAAACGATTGAATCCAATTTTTGGAAATAATATAGCATAATGAGACTTTCAAGCAGTTTTTTTTTTTTGTGGTCTGGTCATTTTTGACTGGGATCAAGTGTAACAAAGATGGAAAAAATCCCCCAAAAGTACAAAGGTTATCCATTTTTGGAAGTTGTTATACCCTGTGTGAGTTAAGTCAGTAAGTTTTAGTCCAATGCGACAACATTATCTAGCATTTTTGGAGAAAATCCTCTATGGGTCGAAATGACCAGAACACAACATGAGGGTTAAGGTCATGTGACGTCAACACATCAGCGCCCACGAGGAGGTGGTCCACTCCATGAAGAATAAGTCTGCTTTTTCTATTATATTAATATGTTTAAAGTCTTTTTTTAAATGTGTAAATATCTTTATTAGCACATACAAGGTAACTCCTTTTATAATCAGTTATCATACAATTATTAACTATTAATGATCAACACTATATTTAAATGTAAGCATGTTTTTGAGTTATTTAAGTGGACATGCGGTCCCTCAGACCTCCAAACAGAAACATGGGGCAAACTTGAAACCAAAACGACGTTTTTACAACAGGCAATGCGGAAAGTCCCCGAGATCCCCACCCATAATGACCGTTTTTCAATACAGAAGGCTGCAACCTTACAATAATGCATTAAATGACTATTGAACAACAGACAGTGCAAATGTTTTCATATGTATCTTAGATACAGACATTTTAAATGCGTTTCCAATACCAGCATTCAAATCGAAAGTGAAAGTAACGCTAACACACGAGTCATTGTTTTAATAACGACGACAATCTAAACGTTCTAAATGCTGCACATGAGAAATAGAAACTGATTCATTGTTACAATGAACATTAGCAATTTCAATAACAACCACCATTCATTTTAATGCGTAGTTAACATGCACGCACAAAGCGTTACTCACGCGTAAAGCACATCACTTACCAGCGCACAAAGAGTGAAAACCGTTCTCATGATGACAATATCAGTAGAAACGGATCCTTGTAACCAGTTGTTGATGCCTCACAAACACATAAGACACTAAACCGTCTGCTGCAGATCTTAAACTACCGCTTGACAGGCGCGAAGAGGGGATTTCTTTCTGCAGACACGCCCACATGTGACATGTGACCATTTCCCATTTCCCCATACTATTCCAAGAAGAGAAACTCTAAAGACGTGTCAAGGCTATTGATAGGCTAATGCATGATAAAACTGGTAAAGTTATTACACTTATATTATTTTTAAGAATTATTTCACGTTTTCGAGAGATTTTTTTGATTCTTTTTTTAAAAGAATCATTAATATAACTGTAATTAATATAGCCTAATCTAATATATAAATCATCATTTTATTAATCTGAAAAAAGATTATAACATGGAATTGGTTTGTCTGTCAGTCTAATTCCATAAAAACGTCACTCAACCAGGCAGAACTTCCCAGCTTGACTTTCACTTCCTCCAGACCACAAACACTACTATTGAGTCATGTCAGCAGTGACAAAACGTTTATCTCTTACTTGCAAATGACATTTATTTATTTACTTGCCCGATTTAATGTCACCTTAGCATCATTAGCAAAACAGAAAATCATAGTTCATCTGTGATTTACTGAATTGACTACACTGTGTGACTAAAGCAGAAAAATTCGGAGCACTAAGGCCTGCCATTGCATTTTGTACTTTTTACTTTTGCATTTTGGAGGGAATGTGAGCATTTAGTGTTGGTGGCAGTGCAGTGACCTTTGCAGTGCTTTCGAACGCACAATTAAGGTTTTTCCTAAGTGACAATTAATTTTTGGGTAAATGTGTACTGCAGTATATAAATAATAGCCTATTAATAATATAAAGTATTATATAGCACAGTGTTGTTATTATTAATTCCGAATAAAAATATTAGAATTATTTTTCATGATTTGAAATGAAGCTGAAATAACGATAAAATAAAAAATATATATAAATACTATAATAGTATAATAAATAATACTATACACTGATATAGTATTATGGATATATAATATAAAACAATAGCCTATGCGAAAGACAAAGAGTGAAAGCAAAATACAGCTCATGAAACAATAATGTTATACAATGGCAGCATGATTTGACACAGTTCACACATTCTGCCACTGTGAGAAAAGAAGAGCAAAACGGCATGCAGCTTGAGAGTTTTACAACCACAGGTGAATCCCACCCCTGCTAAAGGGCTCTCCCCTATAAAATGAAAAAAAAAAAAACCAGGTCTGGATTCAACAGACAGCATGAGGAAATCCCCACATTACAAGGAAGTTGTTTTGGAATATACATGCATGAGTACTTCTAGGGACATACCGTGGAAGAGAAGAAATACTCTGAGATCAATGATGTAATCAGCCAGATCCCAACACAATGACGTCTGGACTCAGGAACTTCAGACAGACTTAGATTTTCATAACATAAGGCTGATTGTCTCACTTCCTCACAAAGACTATCTGAGAATGATTTGAGGCATGGCATACTGTAATTAAAGGTTCTAGTGAAAAACCCTTCAGTCCCATGAGGAACAGTTCAGAGAATATGGACGTCACATTTTCCACGTCAGTTTTGAAAAAATGCCTTTTCTGTTTCAAGACACTGCACAGTCTAGGTGGCTTGTTGTATAAAAGTCTGTAGGCCTGTGTGTTCAAAGTGCAATAACTGACAAGAATGCAAAAGGTATATGACAAATTCTGCAAAAACACCAGAATGAAAAATACATCTGCTTTACATGTGTGTGAGAGAACTTCAATAGTTTACACTACACTAATCACTAGACTACTGGCAAATGAAATAGGATGTAAACACTTCCTTTTCTCAGTCTGTCACTGTTTTGACGCATATAGGCTATTTTAAGTAGGTGTTAATTGACACCTACATATGAATATGTTTGGGAGTTTTTAGATGTTGGGGGATTGCTAAGAACACAACCTTTGCACTTTGTTTATTCTCTGAACTTTGTTTCGTTTATTCTTAAAGTCCGCATGAAATCAAAATTGACTTTATTTACTTTACTAGCGCACATTGCTAGTAATGATGTGAACAATTAATCCGTGCAAGTTAATCCGCTGAAAAAAAATTGTTTGTCTTCATAATCTTTCATCAAAATCTGAACATTTACTTCCGCTCTGGAATGGCATTCCTTTTCTGATGACGTCAGTTTGACGGCTTGGGCAGAATATCCTTAAACACACCCCTCCAACCGTTAGATTGCTATGAGTGAGAGACAGAGAGGAGGAGCGCAAACATAAAAACCATGCCCTCTATTCAATATTCCGTTTCAGCTGGAAATACGTCACTACACTGAAATAAAGTCGGCAGCAACTTCCGGTTCACGCGGACTTTAATGTGGTTGTTAAATGTATTTAAAAAAGTTCAAAGGAAATTAATTTGTGAAATTAAAATACTAATTTGTCCCCCAAATTATATGTCTGTTTCATAGTTTGCCAAAAATATATAAGTTAATAGCTCATAATTAAAAATCATAGTTAGATTTCGACATTTTCACAAATGTTCGCAATGTTAGGGTGGTTGCCTGGGCATTGCCACAGTGGTATGGACCGTTGCTTTCACTCGGCGGCCATCTTGCCATTGCTCCCTAGGCAGATATTTCCAAGTACAGTAAGTACAGATCCTATCTATTTGAACAGGGAAAGACATACATCTCAAAAGCTAGATAGATAGTGTTATCCTTAAATAACTGACTTCAAATAAAAATATTAACAACATTATAAATGGTATCACAAACTGTGCTTCTTTTTAGTTAGATTTTAGCCCGCTAATGCGCATGCGCATTCCAGCGTCAACAAACAGGTGATCGTAAAAGGCCATCTGCACTTTTAACTCTAATTTTAAAAATAAGTTACTAAAATAAGTTGCCTATTATTATTATTATTATTATTGTCTGAAGTAGGGCCTACCTGTAGTAAGTATGATTAATTGGTTGCCATGGTCGTCAGGGCTTCCTTACAAACATTAGGCCTACACTTTAAGCTGAAGCGCGTTGCTGCTTGTTTAAATGCAATAACTGATTTAAATTCGTTGTGGGTAAGTAACATACCGCTTTCACGTTCACGTTCACAATACTAATATAGAGCTAGTTTGTACTTTATTTAAAGTCCAGTTTGTTTTTTACAGCGTCGTATCGTGATTTGTTTGTGTCGGCTGTTCACCACCTAGCGGTTAATCATTGTGCTACAATTGAATGAGCTTTCAGACATTTTTGGAAATGCGTGTTTTATTTTACTCTACAAATTTGAGAGTACAACCATCTATATATCGATACAACAGCCGTGTAATAATACATAGCCATACATAATGGGGAAGTCGTGGCCTAATGGTTAGAGAGTTGGTCTCGTAACCCAAAGGTTGCGGGTTCGAGTCTCGTACCGGCAGGGATTGTAGGTGGGGGGAGTGAATGTACAGCGCTCTCTTCCACC